GTCCCAAAGGTTGTGACTGTACATTACGGTGCATTTGGGAACCCATCGTCTGGCTTAACCCGGTGACCTTGTTGGCTAACCAGCTGAGGCACAGCATACAGTATCTCACAAAAGTGAGTACTGTTAGGATTTTGGTTTAGCCTTGTTTATTATTTCGGTTTTGTTAGTACTCTTAGTATCTGTCTTGCTTTGCATCTTAGTTTTTAGTCCTGTAGTTTGGTTTTCTCGTTTTTTGTCTGCCTTGTGTTGATTTGTGTTCTCTGTCTGGTGATTTATTATTTGACTGTGTTCAGTCTTGCGTGCTTGTTTCCTGTCATGTTTAGTTTGTATTTTGGTGTTCTATTATGTTTCTGCATTTTGGTTTGGTCCTGTCTCTGTTCCCTGCCCTGGTTTTGTTCTTTATGCAGTAGTTTCTCGTTTTCTGTTTTACTTTGGTAACTCTGTCCTTGTGTGTTCCCATGTGCTTTAATTTCCTGTTTTATTTTTTAGTGTTCTGTTCTCATGTGTCCTTGTCTAGCTTTGTTCCTGTTGTTGATCACCTGATGTGTTTCAGCTGTGCTTCCCTCCCAGCTCATTTGCTTGTGTGTATATTGTCCTTAGTTGTGGTCAGTGTTTGTGTCGTGTGTTGTTTCCAGTCCCTGCGCTTTTGGATTATTTTGTCGGATTGTATCTTGTACCTTCTTTGTTCATGGACTCTTCCCTTTGGATTGTGTTTTGTTTGGAGTTGCCTTTTGTTTGAACATTAGCCGCTGTGCTCCCAGCGTAAACCTGCTTAGTTTCGTTTTAGTAAATCTTTCTTTGAACTGGAACCACCTCGCCTACAGTCTGCATTTGGGTCCGCATCTCTATTGCACTCTACTACCCAGGACAAGTACACCCATGAGAGGAAACTTTTAATAGCATGTTTTTCTCATATTCCTAATTACATAATGTTACATTTCACCCTGGTGAATGTGACAACCACAGACTGAATATAAAGGTTACAACTAACACAGCCTGTGGGGTGAATTGTAACGTTTTACTCCTTGTGTTTGAGACTAAACCATGCATCTGTCTGTCTGTGTTGCAGAGATGACAGCTACACCACTTAATAGCAGACACATGTAACTAGTTTGTATCACATTTTGAACGCACCGGCTTAAGAGAGGCCCGATAAACAGACAGAAATGTAAAAAAACTTTACAACCATCCTGGTCTCCCCTAATGCTAATTAATACTAAACAGCTTTGTAAATGTTTTTGTAGGCCACAATAGGCTACCGGTGGTGGACATGGGAGGGGCGTTCCTGGAGTAAAGGAATGCTTTTTTGGGTGGGGGGGTCGCTTATCTATGTTTTACACTGTTTCTAAACAGTTAATGAAACAAATAAAATGTATTGTGCTTTAACGCACCACAGATCCCGCTACTGCCCCATACAGCGTGACATGACAGGATCCGTGGAGCCAGTCCCCAAAGCAGCGTTTCAAGTCAGCGTTGATGTCGCTATCGCCTACAAGTAGGCTTTGCAGGAAGCTGCATAGATGTTGTCGACAAGTACGGGTTTCTGACGCATATAAATCCATCAAAAAAAGTCAAGAGACGCATAGGCTACGTTGCATACGGTACATTGTGAAGAACAGTCTCATTTTCATTAACTCAACCTTCTGGCTGTTGTCTTCTTAAGTTTCAGATTGAGTAATATTGACCACCTACTTCCTCATGTCACTATTAGTCTTTGTTGTATTCAAAGCAGTCTGTTACATTACTGATTTACATTGGAAAAACCGAAAATGACTCCGGACTAAGAATCGGGGCAGGAGAGAGGATCTTCTGGTCAGTGAGTTTTACTGTTTCTCATATATCATCTATTATTATCTATGCATTGCACGACTAAATTTCTATTGTTATTGTACATCCTGCAGTATAATGACTTCTCTTCTTTTCTGGGTATACATACATCAGCTTTAGTGTGAATGTGGTGATGACACTGTCTGATTCTTGATCTCACAGCAACACTGTTTTATGTGTGAAGAGGAACTTATTTTTCCCTCATGCTGACAAGCACTGGCTTGGCTTGTTTCTTCTTAGACTCTAGTTTCAAAGTAATATTTATAGCACAATGGAAAATAATAAATGCACCAGTTTATTTGAGCGTTAATTTCCCCTGTGTGCATTTGATATCTGAAGTTACTGTGGCAACATGAGGTAAAAACATCTCAAATTACATACATCTTTACTCAGCCCACAGGACACATAGTCTGAAAATTAAAAGTTGGAAAACATTAGTTAAAGCTATTATAATCTCATACAATCTATAATTCCAGATGTTTTTAAAAGGATTGTTTTACAAATAAATCCTGATATCTGGCCTCTGTTTTAGATTAATATCTGATGAGAACCTCTTCAGCATCACATTTGCCTAATTAAATAATTTAAGAGAATTGTAAACCACTTGAAAACTTGAAAACATTATTTATTCTGACGTCAAACAAGGACCAGCTCTATTTTCTGATGTACTATTCTACACAAAACTGAATGGGTTACAAAGACATACATATCGTATCATACTGTAAGATGACTCACAGCACCCTGATATTTTTATTAGGGAGCCAGAGTCCTGGCCCCTCCTAGCCTCTGTTGCACTTGTGTCTGTAAGTCAGTTTTCAGAGGCACAGAGTCTAGTGAGGAGGGAGGGCAAGTCGACTTTAACTCTGTAGCACTACATGCAAATCTGTGGTTCACTAATTAAGTTAATTGTTGTGTTTTACATTCACAAGATTTAATATTTATTTACATGACAACATTTAAAAGTTAAACTACTGAGGTGTTTCTGTTACATGCGTTGATAATACAGACCCGGGCACAGAGTAATGCACAGGCATCCAGGCTTTTTTTCTCATATAGCATTTTGAAAGAACACATCATTAAAATGTAGGCACTGTGGACGCACACACATGCACAAATAAACAATAAATTGTTAGTGTATGGTGTAACATGATTTGAGCAGGGCTGGAGACAAGAGGAGGGCGCAACTTCTGATTTTAATTGAAAATATAATTATTCTACATGTTGTGCTCCCTGCAGTTTGGGATCTTACTTAAAATGGCCGAATACCCTGTGCAGTCCACTTAGCAGGGAGCTACTGGGAGATCAGAACACACCCGTACAGAAACACAACCTCCTACATGTAGAGACAAACCTAACATTCAGAAACACACAGATTTTCAACCTGAATCCTTTTATACTGTTGTAAGGACGTGAAAATTCCTCCTTTGCATCCCCTGCTGTAGTGTTGGCAAGTTTGACTCTTTTGAAAGACTCGAGTCACCAAATCTCGTTCATTAAAATTAACTAATCTTTTTTTGTGTCATTTCGTTCATTTGAACTAGGCTGGTTATTATTGCAGCCCTCTAGTTGGCGATTAAAAAACAGCTGCCTGGCTTGCTTTATTTGACAAAGTATAATGCACAAATTCACCTCTTGATCACTCTCTATCATCATCTTGTGGCTCAGGAAGTAGAGTGGGTTGGCCATTAATCGGAAGGTCAGCGGTTCGATCCCTGGTTGCGTGTCGAAGTGTCCTTGGGCAAGATACTGAACCTCGATTTGCCCCTGGCGGCTATTCCGCCAGTGATGAATGTTAGTTTCCGTTTGTGCACTTAGGCTCAGTGTATGACTGTTGAATGCAATGTAGTGTAAAAGTGCTTTGAGTGGTCGAAAAGATGCTATACAAATATGGTTTATTTATATAATTACTATCTTTATCTCTAACGTGCTCATTCATAGAGTAGCCTAATGTCCCTATCTATGAGTAAAATATTATATTATCAGAATTGCGTATGTAGAAGTAATAAGCTTGATACACTATATGAATAAACACACTTATTAAAATTCAACCAACTTAATAATAATCTGGATCAAGCCACCAAGTTCTTAAAGAACTCCAGCACAGAGAGAGGAACAAAGAAATAAACAGGTGTAAACGCAGCAGTTTGGCAGGTCTGGAAACAAACATGAACGCATCGCTCTCAAACACTGCAGGTTGTTCACCAGCCAAGAGCTTTGAAACAACAGCATGGCTCTGTTGATAAATAAAAAGTAAAAGTTACGTTCCTCCCGAGTCATACACAAGATTAGGTCTTATGAATGAAACGTTCCCTGAACGACACAACACTACCCTGCTGCCTCTCTCTTTAGTCCGCCCCATTATGTATATAACATGTCAGCATCTCACTTTAAAGTATCTTCATGATGAGATACCACCAGGTTTTTTTGTATTTGTTCAGGTTTTTACCAATTTGTCCCTGAGATGTCTTCATTCCCCTGATTTAACAGAGATAAATTTAATTTGTATGGATGGAGTCCAACAGCAAAGTGACTTTCTCTGAATAATCAAGAGTAATGGGAGGCACCTGAGCTAAATTTAATAAATTGAATACATTCGCAAAAAGTTCTTGAGTTTAGATTGATGAAGGAAAGTGGGATTAAATGATTTTAACATAAGGCTGCAACATAAAATGTGAAAAAGTAAAGGAGTCTGAATACTTTCTGAAAGCACTGTGTACACACACAACACACACCTTCATCACAGTACAGGCTCTGTGAATGTAAGAACAGAGGGCATTTACTGCATAACATGCACAAATAAACACAATAAAATGTTTGGAACGTGATATGATTCAATTTCTTTCTTGGCTGTACAATTATTACTTATTGTTTATGCCATTTTATACTTTGACACTTTTCAGGGACCAGGAACAAACCTTTGCACAAGAGACATGCTAATATATAGTTTCAGTGGGCCGGCAGTGTAAACATTTCAAAGTTTGCTGCAGTCGTCGGAGCTTTGTGTAAAAGGGAAGGAAGAACAGACAGGCTGTACTCAGAAGGAGAAGGTAAAGAAAAAATGTGCCCTCATATTTATATGAAATGTAACTTCTCTCTTCCTGCTGCATCATTATTAATGCAAAGTAGAAACATTTGTCAGCAGCAGAGCGACAGTGTCCGTGCTGGATGTGAAGATGGGGCACACTTTGCTCTGTGTGCTGGGGTTATTCTGTGAGTACATCACTGACTTTACAATGTTGAGACTTTCAGAGGTTTCTGATTTGACTTGGTTCAGAGTGCAGGACTGTTAAATACACTACTGCACTAGTTCTTTTTGCACTAATGTTTTGCACGATGCATGTTCAGTTTATGGTCTGAGGTATTGTTATTGTTATATATTGTATAAAGCCTTTGAATTTAACGTACCTCTGTACCAACTAACAGAATATCATCACAGAAATGTGTGATCCTGTTGATTGATAATCAATAGTTGCCTCTGATGAAACTCCAGCTGGATTTAAATGTCTTTGCTTTTTGTCTGATGAAGTTTAATCTTTATTTCAGTGCTGAATACACTCCTCTACGGACACGCTGAAGGTCTGTTTTTTAAAAGTATTTGCAGTATTTGTATTTGCACCTGAAACTGTACAGGCTTTGATGTCAAACTGTATATTTACTGTAGAGTCTGTTCTTCATACAGATGCATTTTCTTTTCACACACTCATCTGATCATCTTAACAGGGCAGGATGATGATCAAGAGAAGAGCGCTGACGACTCTGTGGGGACAGGACCAACAGGTGATGCAGTCAGTTACAACAGTCTGACCAAATATTTCAATATTAATGAGTTTATATAATTACTCTGGAGCCAGTTAAAGGTTGCCGGCTGTTCAAATCCTCTCCCTCATTTAGGGTGGTGACATGGTGTGCTGGCTGCCACAGTGTGTTTTTGGTGTTACCTCTGCTGAAGTCAGAAATTGTTGAATGCTTCACATACAGATGGTCACAAATGATAAATCAACCTAAAGTGTCTCAGTGAGGTTTTGGGACAAACCTTCAGAACAGCTTCAATGCTCCTTTGTCTCTGAACTCTGTTGGAGACGTTCAGTTGGAGTGAGATGTCGTTACTGTGAAGGAGATAACATAAGATTCACATCATTTTCATCCTCATCAAATCGTTCAGGGAGCCAGTGTGCCCTGTATGTATGTACGAGAAATAAAATCACTCTAACTGGATCCAGCAGTTCTGTGAAGTTGTTGTCACTACCACCAAGTTTAGCTGCAACAACAAGATTTATTTATGAGCCGTGTTGATGAGAATGATGAGAATGGCCTACTTTAAATGACCAACAATCACAAAGATAAGAAACAAAGGGCAGAGTTTAGCTGTTCATCAAGAGATTCATATAAATTGTAGTTTACATTTTACAACAACCATCTGAAAAGCCAAATAAAGGACTTGTGTAACATGTAACCCATCCTCTATTTTTTCTGCATAATCAGTATTATTGTTATAATTGTTACTGTAATGTAGCGAGCAGGTAACATTAAGCTTGGAGCTGTTTATAAGAAATTGGTAAATGTACTTACTACCTATCATTAATAATTAAGTGTGACTGAAACATGATATTTAGTGGTGATAAATCACTTTTAAATCACTCACATGTTGTCAGATAAAGTTTGATCATTTGATTGAGCTTATTAGTAAATAAATGATCTTCCTCTGTTACACAGGTGCTGTTGCAATCCTTGAAGTTCCTGATTTCACTTTGTTTGAAGGAGACTCAGTGACTCTGCGCTGTAGGCATCGTACTCCAGAAAATGAGATGAAAGCTTCCTTTATCAAAGACGGATCACCTCTTAAAATGGAAACAAACCATCCTTCACTCAGTTTAGTGGAAGTGACCATTAATCCAGTGTCAGTGTCAAATGGGGGAACTTACACGTGTAAATTTGATGATGGGGCCGAATCTGAAGAAAGAGAACTGAAAGTTGAAGGTGAGTAGCTGTGATGAAAAAACAGCATTATTATTTAAAATGCTACAGAAAGAATAAAACAGAATCTAAACTCAAACATCAGCTTTTCTGAGCTTTCAGCTGCAGTTCACTCTCTTCATTCAGATTTGTTTTGTACTACAGTGAATACTACATAAAGTATTCATACTTCTTAAAATACTACAAAGCAAGTGCTGAACAGCAACAAGTGAATCTTTCCTCTGCCTTCACCTAACCAATCACTAAACATACTGAAGTCTCTAATTTCAAGCAGGTCTTTGTACATGTGGCAGAGAGAGCACGATGCTGCAAATACAGAAAACACAAGCAAACAGAGAAATGCTTCAACACAGTGGAGGTTTTCGACTGAAGACCTTCTTGTGTTCTGTCTCTTTGTGTTTTCTTCAGCTGCATTGTGTTCATCTCTCTCTGCCACCACTCATGAGGCTGCAGACCTGTGAGATTCATTAGGTTTTACATAATGTGAAAAAAAGCGTTTCCATGGTGCTTTAAAATGTAGAAACATTTTGATGTGATGTCCATTATTTTTTTTCCTGTTTGATTTTCCTAAACAGCACGTAGACGTGAGGTCACACTGACAGCAGGAAACACAATCATACCAGCGGGGGCAGTGTGACGCTGAGCTGCTCTGTGGAGAAACCTGCTGGCTTCAGATATCTATGGTACAGACTGACCTCTGACTCTACTGAAGTTAATGAATCAGACAGAGTTATCTCACATGGAGGCAAATATACCTGCAGAGGATGGAGAAGTGAAGAAGGTGTCTTTACACCTGAAAGTGATGCAGTCACCATTCAGGAAACTGGTGAGTTTAGTCATTTTCTCTGAATAAAACAACCTCCATTCTTTATGTTCTTAAACAGTAACTAAGATGTGGAAGAAAGCCATTTTAGTTCACAGCTAATTGCAGTATTTATGGTACTACTTTCCCCCTTTGACGTTGAACATTATTCTGCTAAATGTTTCTCAGCAGCTGAATGTTTTTGTTTTAATCTAGATGTTTAATAGGTGGAGTAGCTTCTATATTATTTTGTTAAACATATTTCACAATTTGAAGAGTCAGTGACGCCAGATCTTATTTGCTCCCATTCTGTGTTGGATGGAAATCATCTTTTTTGAGGTGACTTCTACTCCTACTGTAGTTGTGAACAAAAGGTATTGAGGTGGCTAGGAACTCTCACAAGGAAAAAGTGCTGCATCTCCTCTACATTTACAGGGTTATTGATGTCCGATGATCTGTTTTTGTAATGTTTATGAAACGTTTCTAAATTAAAATGTTGCTAGGGGATAATTAAGATGATTACCAATAGAAACATCTCTACGTACCATTATGTTTTCATTAAATTTTATATTTCTATTAGAATCCTAACTGGATATTTTTTCTGTGAACAGTTTCCAATAAGGTCTCTGTGATCTTGCAACCCAACTGGCCTCAGATATTCAGTGGAGAGACAATCACTCTCAGATGTGAGATCCAGGGAGGAGGAGACACTAAATGGACGTATGAATGGACACCAGCCAAATTAAACAGACCTCCAACAGACAATGAATACAGGATCAGCAGTGCTACTGTGTCCCACAGTGGAGACTACAGCTGTAAGGGTAGAAGAGACTCATATTCCTCAACAGAGTGGAGTGATGTCATCACACTGACAGTATCATGTAAGTTGGCAAGTTGCAAGAAGGTTCTGGGTGTGAATCTAACCTTTGGCCAACAGGTTGAGTTAACACTCAGGTTATGTTAGTTCAGATTAATCTAATTGGCGAGTCTACATTGCCTGTATGTGTTAGTGTGAATGATTGTGTTGACAGTCTGTCCAGGTTTACCTCTGCTGTCACACAATGTGAGCTGGGATAGACTCCAGCTCCCTGTGACCCTGCAAAGGATCAGTGAGTCCAGATAATAGATCAGTAGATCGGATGTATGATACAGTTGTCTTTCAGAAAAAAAACAGTGAAAGTGTTAAACTTCACTCTTCAACACTTAAATATAGACCTAGTTGTATGTATAGGGGATGTTTGTAACTAGTGGTGGGAAATATTACGATATTTGATTAAAATGTCTCCATGCAGGGGCCATATAGTGGGGAAATGTTAGGACAATTCCAAGGGCCCCTGACTGACAGGGGCCCCAAAAAATAGGTAAAGACTAATATCAAATTATATTTATATAAACCATCATCATTGAGTATTTTAAATATAATAATACAATTAATGATCTCTTTGTTTTTGGCAACAGAAGTTAAATATCCCCATTGACCGAAAAGTAAACATCCATATTGCGCCAGAAACACAGTGATCATAATGTTGCCTAATAAACCAAAATCTGGTTTTCAAAAAAGGAAAGAGAGGAAAGACAAAAGAAAGGATGTCAATCTGTAACCCAGTTTTTCACTAAGAAAGGTTGGCAGCCTTTAGTCTGTGAGTTATATTAACCTGTTGGCTTGATGTCCACAGTGAAATAATCTAGCTAGCTGCAGACTAGTGTTAGCCTTCATTTCATCAACATTTAATCAGTGTGCAGGGAAACGTTTGACAAAAGATTCATATTGAATCATTGTCCCTGCCCCTTTTAGCAGACTAACAACAGATGAGTCAGCAGCAGCCCAGTCTCCCCATAACTGTAGCCTCCCTGTCCCAGTGAAGAAGGTGAGCAGCACTGTGTGAATGACAGGCCAGTTAGCATCATGCCAGGGAGTCTGTGGGGATTTCTCTGTCTCTCTCTTGCTCTTTTTATCATAATAAAAAGAAAATGAAATATTATTAATGACAGAAATTCAGACACAAATTATTTTCTCACATAATGATCATTATGAGATAAAATAAAAACAACCTCCTGTCTGTACTGGATGCTGGACAGTTGGAAACAGTGAGTAGCTCACCTGTAATTTACAGACAATATTTAAAAAATCCAGTTTGATTCATTTAGATTTAATTATGGCTGTTAAATGACCGTTCAAAGATTGCCATAAGGACATTTTTATGGTGGCTTTTAATCTTGCATCAAATAGTGAACTGCATACTGTTTGCAGACTTGCATGTACAAATCACCAGCAGTAAATATTGTGCCAGCACTAGTGTTGAACTACAAGAAACAAGACATTTGCAAGCCTTTAACTCGAGTTATGTAAAGCTTTTGATGGGACAGTTAGGTCCTAGAGATGTGGTGACAACAGCTACGCAGAGGGGGCCAATTACATCTTTTGTCAAGGGCCCAAAGTTTCTGGTGGCGCCGCTGTTTCCACGATCTGCCTTTTCAGAGAGATCGTGCTCAGTTTCTGTGGCTCATACACGCAGTTCAACATCGCAAGTCAGCTGCCTGCGTCCTCCGCTGTCTACAAAGGAAACACTGTAACTGTTGGGCCTCGTAAACATCAAAGTTCCCCGTGTGCCCCGCTGCTCTGCCTTAACTCTCTGGGATTTACGGAGTTTGCTGATGAACAGAAAGTTACTTGTTGCTATAGTTACCGGTGACCGTGGCTAACTAGCTGCTGTTATATAATTAGCTCAGTTAGCTTAGTGGTCATAGCTGACTCAGCCCGGACTGGCAGCACCAGGGGAGAGTTTTGTGTTTAACGTTACACCTGTTAGTGAAGCACTGCAAGGTTTCAGGCAGGATAGAGCGGCATGAACGGGACTGAACACAGAGACCAACAGGGAATATATTACCGAGGTGATTTACATCATTTACTTTTTGCTAAACCGCTAACTGTGTCTGTAGCTAGTTAGTTTGGTTAGCCGTGCTGCCAGCTGTCCTTTATTAGCTGAGTCAGCCCCGGGGTGCAAAGAGTCAAACCTGGAAAGAAAACCACCTCGGTCCTGTAACGTTATTCCCTGCTGTCAAAATTGGCCTCTGTCGGTTTGTGTTGGGTCCCGGTCCGGCTGCAGTCATGACAGGGGGGTTAACGCACTTTAAGCGCTATTGGCGCCAATCAAGATCTGCAACAAGTCCCTCCCTGTCTTTGTGTTTTTAAATGTGCAGAAGCAAACAGCTCATTCTTTCATGGGGAAATTAAATTTAAAAAATTACATATTACAAAATAAATCAGTCCTTTTAAATCAGGCTATATTGTATATGATTAGTAAAGTAGTGTTATTTTTCTCTTTTAAACAAATAACTTGCAAAACAGTCTTGAAAACCAACAAGAAAATGAATCGTGATAAGATCGTGAAACGTGAACCTGCCTGAAATAAATTGTTGTCAATTTTTTCACTCTTCAACACTGAAACACGGGTTTTGTCAAAGGTCACAAATGTATCATTCAGTAGCTCTGTAGCCAATTATTATGCAATGACATTTTATATGATAATTTTATTTTATGAATGAGTTTCTACATTTGCGCAAAAAAACCTGAGAAAGAGCCTGAAAACTTGAGCAACACATGCTGCATCTTAAATCAAAGAATCAAAACACAACAGCATGCTTCATTAAGTTATATTCGTTCATTATTCATCCTCCCTGCAGGTCCCTGTTAAGCCATTCCACGCTAACCGCTTCACCTCCACTCCTGCTCACTCTGTCCCTCGGCCCTGTCACGGTGACTCTCTCCCTCTGCTTCGCTGTCCAGCTGACGTTGAAGCTACTGAAGCCCCGGTAGCAAACTTATCCGTTATTTTGGCACGTTTGGTGGCATCAGTCTCAAGATTTATTTTTATTTCTTTGGCCCGCAACTTCCCCCTTTACTGACACAAGAAACAGAGGGCAGAGGGGGAGGGAGTGGGTGCTAGTCACAGATGTGGGCCAGCCCAGTGTCACTAGGCCTGTAGACAAATGAACCAATGTGCTGCTGTCTGTGCTTTATGGGCCGGTCGTTGGCAACAGTTATACAGTTATATGAATAAATATCTTATATTAGCGCCAGATAACCAGTCCACCCCTGGAGGTCACCCTCTACAGCAAAACTGCCAGCAAGTCAGACCTGCACACACGCACAACAGCAGACCATCATTTTCGCTCAGTCACAGACCCACATTCACAATGCTGAACCAGAACCAAAGACACTACCATAAAATACAGGCGGCATTATCATTACTTATTCCTAATTCTCTTCATTTCAAGTTTTAAGTTTGAACTTACTCTATTTTTAGCAAAGATCTCGTTTCCTCTTGCTCATGTTGACTGTGAATGAAATGTAATCTAAATTCAATAAAGTAGTAGTTTCTAGTGGTAATGAAATGCCAAAGTATGATGTTTGTTTTGATTGCTGTGTCAAAATATTTCATCTTGCAAATTTGGTGAATTGTTCTCATGGATAGTTTCAGTTGAGATAAACACAGGAAAAGAGAGAGAAAGGTTTAAAACTGGACTAAAACTGAATGTATTTCTTGCCTGTGGGGCTGCACAGACAGTAATTTCCTTGTTTTATGTCTTTGTTCTAAATCAAACAGCAAAGAGACCAAAGGCCCAACTGAGAGCTGACAGGAGAACTATTCCAGCAGGGGGCAGTGTGACCCTGAGCTGCTCTGTGAACCCGTCATCTGGTTGGAAATACTTCTGGTACAGAGGAGAGAAAACCTCTGAACCCCTGAACACACAAGATGCTGTCTTCAACTCAAATGGACAAATCAGTGTCTCACAGGGAGGACTCTACTGGTGCAGAGGAGGAAGAGGAGACCCAGTTTACTACACAGAGGACAGTGATCCAGTCAGCATCAACAAAATTAGTGAGTTTGACATTTGTTTTTTATGGAAGTGCATTGCATTCACCTAGGAAAAAAAATGTAGACACCTTATCGCGTAATTACCAGAAAATATCTTATAATTATGAGAAACATTAAGAACATCAGTCATCGCTGAACTGCACTACAGGAGAAGTGGACAATGATTGCACTATTGAATTTAATCTTCTTTTATTTCTTTCTCTATATGAGGCACTGGGAAATACTGATGTTATTTAATGTGGATGGCATTAATATTTGTATATCAGCATTGACTGTGGTCAAGAGAGCTACGCTTTGTTTTGTGATGCGTGTATTTGGTATTTACTAGGCATTATGGTAACATCACGTTACAGCAGATTTTACTAATAAAAGTGAGCTTCTGGTGAACATATTGTAATATTATATATTATAATGTAATATATGTAATATATTGTAATATTCAATGAATATTACAATACGTGAATGAAAGATTAAATGAAATATGTAAATAAAAATGATTAAGACTACAGGAGTATCTAAATAAAATATTAATATTTTAACTGAATTATCTCTAAATTCACATTAATGTTGAAAGAAAACCTGTTTCCACTGAATCATTTCACTTCAGAGTGATTGCAGACCACCACAGTGTCCCTCAGTCAATAGCAGAGCTATCTGATGTAGGATTTCAAAATTAAAGCTTATATTTCACTTCATTTCACTTCAGAGAGTCTTATGTTGAATTTCAAAATGTACACAAACATAAACAATATATACACTACTGTTCAAAATTTTGTGGTCACTTAGAAATGTCCTTATTTTTGAAAGAAAAGCACTGTTTTCTTCAATGAAGATAAGTTAATCTAGACATTGTTAATGTGGTAAATGACTGTTCAAGATGGGAACGGCTGATTTTTAATGGAATATCTTCAGAGGCCCGTTTCTAGCAACCATCATCCTGTTTTCTAATGGTACATTGTGTTAGCTAATCGTGTTAAAAAGCTAATTGAAGATGACAAAACCCTTGTGCAATTATGTTAGCCAGCTGAAAGCTGATGTGCTGATTAGAGAAGCTATAAAACTGGCCTTCCTTTGTTGATCTGGAGCATCAGCATTTGTGGGTTCGATTATACTCTCAAAATGGCCAGAAACAAAGAACTTTATTCTGAAACTGAAACAGTCTATTCTTGTTCTGAGAAATGAAGGCTATTCCATGTGAGAAACTGTCAAAGAACTGAAGCTGTCGTAAAATATTGTACAAAGAAAAATACATATCTCAGACCAGCCAATAGAAAGCAAGGGTGTAATCTTTCCTACGTCAGATAGCTCTTGACTGAGAGACACTCACACGTCACTGTGAAGTGAAATAAGTAGTGCTGGGCAACGCTTAAAATTTGTAATCGCGATTAATCATATGATTTTCTTGCGATTAATCTAATTGTTATGCACAAAATTGAATAATGAATTCTAAAGTAGTTTATTGCACACTTTGATTTAAATGTACTGCTATATACACAAAAGTGTAATAACATGTGGTTTGCAAACACTTTAAACAAATAAGGTGCTTTTTACCAGCAGTATTCCCTTTACACAGTAGCAATAAATGATTTCTTATAAATCTCAACTTCTCAAATTTTAAACCAAAGCTATTTGCCATGCCAGGGCGTTACCTTTTATCTAGCCTGTTAAAACAAGTTACCATCAGAGTCCAGTTTTCATGGGATTTTTTCTGAGCAGGTATCAGCAGAAACAGTCTATGTTCAGTAGCAAGTTTCCCTGTTACAGTGCGGTGAAGTGGTCCAGCACAAGCTGTACTGGTGTGTTCCCGTGAAACTGTCGCGGTCGTGCTCGCCTCACGCACACGCCCGCCTGCTGCCGAAGTTGAATTGTCTTGAACTTTTTGTTCGTGACGCGCAGCACCAATCACTGGAAGAGAGACTGATCCTCGCTGTTTGTGAATTTCCAGAATCTAAATAGTTATCAGGACATCAACAGGAGGGAATTCACATGGCAGAGAGTCCCCGCAAAACTAAATGCAGGCCTATCAGGTAAAGTTAGCTTATGTATAATTTTAATTTAAGTTAAAAAGGCGACGGCTGTGTAGCGCACAGAAGCCGTTGCCATGGTTACAATCCATAGAGCGCCTGCCGTTCACTCGCGGAGTGCTGTCTCCCTGTCTGTTCACCTGAGTGAACCTGCCGAACCTCTCCGCTGCTTGTTTGTGAGGGTTATTTGCAGGCTGATCAACATCCTACCTCTCCTGTGACCCATGGTTTGACTGTAGGCCTACGTGTATTCAGAGCCAGTGAGCAACGGACTTCAAAATAATAATTGTCGGCGTTAATTAATTAATTAATTAATGCATGCCCAGCCCTAGAAATAAGTCAGTGGAAACAGGAGGGTTTCTTTAAACACCAATCTGAATTCAGTGAAAATTCAGTGAAAATGTAGATAAATGTAATAGACATTTTTCAAAATTTGTGTAGTCTTAATCATTTATTTATTTCATTATTTCATTTAATCTTTCATTTCTGCCACATATTGAATATTACATTATGTTCACCAGAAGGTCACTTTTATTTTTAAATCTGATGTGACACGATGTTACTGCAATGTTGACATACTAATATTAATGCCATCCACATTAAGTGACATCAATATTTCCCAGAGTCTCATACAGAAAAGGAAAAAAAGCAGGTTAAATCCACAAGCTCAATCATTGTCTTTCACTGTAGGTCAGCGATGACTGATAGCCGAGCTAGCCTTCCTTAACATCCTGATAATTAGGAGATCCTGATCTCATCATTATAACATCTTATTCGTAATTATGAAATAATATTTTTTATTTCTTTGCTGAATGCAATGCGCTTCCATAATCTTTTAACATAATGTAAAAAAATGTTGTATCCATAGTTATTAATTAATAAATCAATTATGTTTTGATGTAGATTTACCATTTGTATCCTTTCCTCTTTTATTTTTGTATCCTAACTGGGTATTTTTTGTGTAAACAGTGTCCAACAGGGCCGTTGTGACTCTCCAACCCAGCTGGCTTCAGATCTTCAGTGGTGAGACGTTCACTGTCAGATGTGAGATCCAGGCAGGAGGAGACACTAAATGGACGTATGAATGGACACCAGACGAATTAAACAGACCTCCAACAGACAATGAATACAGGATCATCAGAGCTACTGTGTCCCACAGTGGAGACTACAGCTGTAAGGGTAGAAGAGACTCATATTCCTCAACAGAGTGGAGTGATGTCATCAAATTGACAGTATCATGTAAGTTGGACCGTCTGTCATCTGTAATGAAAATGTAAAATCTAAATAACGCAACAGAAAACTCTTATTTCTCCAACAATTATGTCGCTCTCTTCAGGTCACACAGTAACAAATGATGTTTGTTTTTTAATGTGGGAACAAAATAAATGAAAAGGAGCCAGTAATCAGAGTACTGCAGCTTTTAAAATATAATCATTCACAGGGAAATGTACAGGAATGAACAACGAATATCAAGTAACTTATAGGTGTAACGATGGTGCAGTTTAACACTGTTCACCACAGCAAGAAGGTTCTGGGTGTGAACCTAACCTTTGGCCAACTGGTTGAGTTAACTCACAGGTTATGTTAGTTCAGATTAATCTCCTAATTGGCGAGTCTACATTGCCTGTAGGTGTTAGTGTGAATGATTGTGTTGACTGACAGTCTGTCCAGGTTTAGCTCTGCTGTCACACAATGTGAGCTGGGATAGACTCCAGCTCCCTGTGACCCTGCAAAGGATCAGTGAGTCCAGATAATAGATCAGTAGATTGGATGTATGATACAGTTATCTTCCAGAAAAAACACAGTGAAAGTGTTAAACTTCACTCTTCAACACTTAAATATAGGATTTATCTAAGGGCACAAATGTAGCATTCAGTGGTGCAACATAATATTAACATGTAATTGCTTTTTTATATTTATTTTGTTTTATTAAGATAACTGCACATATTTCCAGGAAAAACACTAAAATATATACCCCAAATAAATCAGTAATAACTCCTCAACCATTAGGCCGAGATGTATAATCCTTGTCTCTTTTAACAGGTCAGAAGCTAAGAAATATGGATCAACTGTAAACGAACCTATTCAATTAAAGAGTAAATGGAGATGCAATAAAGGAAAATATGATATTTTCATCCTCGCCTGATAAAAAGCTATATTTTTGATGCAATAAACCATCAAAACCATCATCCAACTGATTATAATGCAACTGAATTTATTCTAATACACCTAGAATATACCTGTAACTGTAAATTTGATGAAAAGAAACTAATATGCAACAGTTATTACACAATTTTTCAAAAAAATACCAGGTGAATGTCCATGTTTTGGGCATATTTACTGTTTATATGTTCATTCGTTCTATTGGGAGTTTTCTTCAAAACACTATCCCCCCCACAACCATGTTCCAAATAACATAAAGCTCCCAAAACATTGAAATATTGATTAAAAACAGTGAATATTTATCAACATTCCTGCGACCAAAAGTGCTCCCGTTCTTTACAGGCGCACACGTTGAACATCCTGCAGGGCTAAATGGGCTCTTTCTCTTCGTATTGAGCAGACAAATCGATTGGTATTCTGCATATCTGTGTAGCTCCTATGGGCCAGTAGAGACCAATAAAGACCGTCTCCCCCAAAGCAGCTCTTCTTCTCTCCTTCAATCTGACGAGAGAAACAAAACCTAAAGAGCTCATTGATCACCAAGATGGTGAGGAAGGTCTCTATTGACACAGAAAACCTGCTGTTTTGGGACTGAATACAGTTAAAACAACAAAGTTAAGTCTGCAGTTGTAACTGTAAATGTATATTGGTGTGTTTGTTGTTATTATTAGTCGCCTAATAACTATGTCAGTTTTGTGAGTTGAGTGATTTGAGTTATACAACTGAACAGAGATGAAGCTAAGCTTTCTTTAGAGTGGTCGGACTGCGGTGTGGGATGAGAGGAGAGATATGTGGAAGGCAACTTGTGCAGCCATGTACAGTGATTACAGAGTGATTTATGTTGTGATGTAAGTTTGTGTAGATGCTTGGTGTTTGATGTGTGTTTGGTGTGGTCGGTTTGAGATGCTACTTGAGCCTCCTAGCACACGGAGGTGTCTGGTATGCATAGGGTGACAAAATAATTTGATCGTCCATGATTTCTCATCATGAATACGGTTTCCCAGCATCCTTTGAGGTACAGCAACATGAACGGCTGAGGTATTGCGGTAAGCGTGTCGACTCATTTCCGTTTCCGGTGCTTGTGTGTTGGTACCGTGTTGTGCTGCTCTCGCTAAATAACAGTTACATTTTGTTAGATTACAGCGGCCAACTGTCCGCTAAACACTTATTCTTTACAGTAATTTTGCCTAAGCACTCACAGTTCTTTCCATCTTTTAGTGACTGCTGTTCAATCTCTCCTACTTTCTCCTGCTCGGTGTGTCAGATGTTCAGTTACTCCTCTGCCTCCTTTAGCGGTAATGGTACGTGTAATAAGTGTAGTTTATTTATAGACATGGAGGCGAGGCTCAGTGATTTAGAAGTCCGGCTCCGCACCTTGGTAGATCAGTCTTTAGCTACTGTAGCTAGCCAGTCCCCGGTAGTCGGTGCGGAACGGCCTGAGTTAGCCTCTGGTAGCCGTCCCCCGGCATCTCCTGTGCAGCCAGGAAAGGGGGGGGGGCTGGGTGACTGTCCGAAGGAGGAATAGTCGTAAGCATTCAAAGTCCACGGGGCACCATCAACCTGTTCACGTTTCTAACAGATTTTCCCCGCTCAGCGACACACCCGCTGAGAAACCAACTCTGATCATTGGCAGCTCCATTTTGAGAAACGTGAAGTTAGCGAAGCCAGCGGCCATAGTTAAGTGCATCCCTGGGGCCAGAGCGGGCGACATTGAGTCTTATTTGAAACTGCTGGCTAAGGATAAACGTAAATACAGTAAGATTGTTATTCACGTCGGCGGTAATGACTCCCGGTTACGCCAATCGGAGGTCACTAAGATTAATGTTGAGTCGGTGTGTACATATGCAAAAACAATGTCGGACACCGTAGTTTTCTCTGGACCCCTGCCAAATCTGACCAGTGATGACACGTATAGCCGCATGTCGTCATTCCGCCACTGGTTGTCGAGGTGGTGTCCAGCAAACGATGTGGGCTTTGTAGATCATTGGCAGACTTTCTGGGGAAGACCTGGTCTGATCCGGAGAGACGGCATCCATCCCACTTGGGAAGGAGCAGCTCTCATTTCTAGAAATCTGGCCAAGTTTATTAGTGGACCAAATCCATGACAACCCAGAGTTGAGACCAGGAGGCAGAGTCGCAGTCACACACTTCTCTGCTCCTCCATTTCAGGAGTTACTTAGTGAAAATCCTATAGTGACGGTGTCTGTCCCCCGACCATTGAAATTATTTAAAAAGGTAAACAGAAGAGGAGCTGTGCATAAAAACCTTATAAAAATTAAAACCACAAGAGCAATAGTGCAAACGAATAGGAGAGTTAAATGTGGACTCTTAAACATCAGATCTCTCTCTTCTAAAGGTGTACTAGTAAATGAATTAATATCAGATTATGAAATTGATTTATTTTGTCTTACTGAAACCTGGCTGGGTGATGGAGAATATGTTAGCCTAAATGAATCCACCCCTCCCAGTCATATTAATACTCACATTCCTCGAGGCACAGGCCGAGGAGGTGGAGTTGCAGCTATCTTCGACTCTAGCCTACTAATCAGCTCTAAACCTAAACTAAATTATAACTCATTTGAAAGTCTTGTTCTTAGTCTTTCGCACCCAAGTTGGAAATCACTGTAACCAATTCTCTTCGTTATAGTGTACCGAGCACCTGGTCCGTATTCTGAATTCTTATCTGAATTTGCAGAGTTTTTGTCAACTTTAGTCCTTAAAACGGACAAAGTTATTATTGTAGGGGATTTTAATATTCATGTGGACGTTGAGAATGACATCTTTAGTACTGCGTTTATCTCTCTCTTAGATTCCATCGGCTTCTCTCAGAGTGTTCATGAACCGACTCACTGTTTTAACCACACCCTCGACCTTGTTTTGGTGTATGGTATTGAAATTGAACATTTAGTGGTGTTCCCACAGAATCCCTCTTTGTCCGACCACTGTTTGATAACTTTTGAGTTTGTATTGCTGAACTACACGCCATCAGGCAAAAATTTCTATACAAGACGTCTGTCTGATAGTGCTGTAGCTAAATTTAAGGATGCGATTCCATCAGCTCTAAATTCATTATCTAGTCACAAAGTAACGGAGGAATCCTATGCTAATTTCAGTCCCTCCCAAATCGATCATCTTGTTGATAGTGCTGTAGGCTCGCTGCGAATGACACTCGACTCTGTAGCCCCTCTAAAAAAGAAAATACTAAAACAAAGACGGTTAGCTCCATGGTATAATACTGAAACTCGCAAATTAAAGCAGATATCGCGGAAACTTGAGAGGAATTGGCATTCCACCAAAGTGGAAAATTCTCGTTTAATTTGGCAAGATAGTCTTAAAATAGGAAGGCCCTCCGTAATGCCAGAGCAGCGTACTACTCCCCAGGTTTCTTTTCAGCACTGTAGCCAGGCTGACAGAGAGTCACAGCTCTATTGAGCCAAGTATTCCCATAGCTCTCAGTAATTACGACTTCTTGAGCTTCTTTAATGATAAAATTCTAGCTATTAGAGACAAAATTCACCAAGACCTGCCCTCAACTGGCACCGACTTATCTCTAAACTCAGGAACCTTAGAAACAGCTGTAGAACCAGATACATGTTTAGACTGTTTTGCTTCCCTCAATCTTTACCAACTAACTTCAATAATTTCTTCATCTAAACCATCAACCTGCCTCTTAGACCCCATCCCGACTAGGTTGCTTAAAGATGTTTTAACCTTAGTCAGCACTTCTATACTAGATATGATCAATCTATCTCTATCAACAGGCTATGTACCACAGTACTTTAAAGTAGCTGTAATTAAACCTCTTCTGAAAAAGCCCAAACTTGATCCGGATGTTTTAGCCAACTATAGACCTATATCTAACCTTCCATTTCTCTCTAAGGTTCTGGAGAAAGCAGTTGGTAAACAGCTGTGTGACTTTCTACAGAGCAATAGTTTATTTGAGGATTTTCAGTCAGGATTTAGAGCTCATCATAGCACAGAGACAGCACTGGTGAAATTACTAACGACCTCCTTATTGCATCAGACAAAGGACTTGTCTCTGTACTGGTTTTATTAGATCTTAGTGCTGCATTTGATACCATTGACCATCAGATCCTATTACAGAGACTGGAATATTTCATTGGCATTAAAGGAACCGCTCTAAGCTGGTTTAAGTCCTATTTATCAGATCGATTTCAGTTTGTACATGTTAACGATGAGTCCTCCATGCATGCCAAAGTTAGTCATGGAGTTCCTCAAGGATCTGTCCTCGGACCAATCCTCTTCACTTTATATATGCTTCCTTTAGGCAATATTATCAGGAAATATTCCATAAGCTTTCATTGTTATGCAGATGATACTCAGTTATATCTATCGATCAAGCCAGATGAAACTCATCAGTTAGCTAAACTTCAAATGTGCCTTCAGGATGTTAAAACCTGGATGACCTGTAATTTTCTAATGTTAAATTTAGATAAAACTGAAGTTATTGTTCTGGGGCCTAAGCACCTCCGTGATGCATTATCTAAAGATATACTTTCCCTTGATGGCATCGCCCTGGCCTCCTAACACCACTGTGAGGAATCTTGGAGTTATCTTTGATCAGGACATGTCGTTTAAGTCTCACATTTGCAAATTTCAAGGACCGCCTTTTTTCACCTACGTAATATTGCGAAAATCAGGAACATCCTGTCTAAAAATGATGCAGGAAAAACTAGTCCATGCATTTGTTACTTCTATGGTTGGATTACAGCAATCCCTTATTATCAGGCTGCACGAAAAAGTCCGTTAAGACTCTTCAGCTGATCCAGAATGCTGCAGCACGTGTTCTGACAGGAACCAGGAAAAGAGATCACATTTCTCCTGTTTTAGCTTCTTTGCATTGGCTTCCAGTAAAATCCAGAATAGAATTTAAAATCATTCTTCTTACCTACAAAGCTCTTAATGGTCAGGCACCATCTTATCTTAAAGAGCTCATAGTACCTTACTACCCCACCAGAGCACTGCGCTCCCAGAATGCAGGGTTACTTGTGGTTCCTAGAGTCTCCAAAAGTAGACTAGGAGCCAGAGCGTTCAGCTATCAAGCTCCTCTAGTGTGGAACCAGGTTCCAGTTTGGGTTCAGGAGGCAGAAACCATCTCCACATTTAAGAGTAGGCTTAAGACTTTCCTCTTTGATAAAGCTTATAGTTAGGGCTGGCTCAGGTGAGTCCTGAACCATCCCTTAGTTATGCTGCTATAGGCCTAGACTGCCGGGGGATTTCCCATGATGCACTGAGCTCCTCTCTCCTCTACTTTCTCTCCCTCTGTATGCAACCTCATCCCATTATTGCATGTTACTAACACAACTTCTCCCCTTTCTGGTAGTCTTGTGCTTTCTTGTCCCTCTCCTCTCTCCTCCTATCACTTCCTGCAGGTTTTCTGGCTCTGGAGCTGTGGAGTCTGGATCTGTGGCTGCGGGTCACCTGCTGTCTCTGTGTTCCTGCTCGACACCCTCTGCTGCAACGACTATTGTTGCTAGTCTTATTGTTATTATTGTTATTATAATCATTAACATTACGACTGTTATCATTAACACTACTATAAATATCTGTACCATTTTTCATTTAGTCTATAGCAACATCACCTTTACTGTCTGTACCTCTGTGTGTATATTGTGTAGGCTGCCTCCCTCCCCTCTCTCTCCCCTTCCATCCTCTCTTTTTCTCTCTGTTCCTCTCCTGCTCTCTCTCTCTCTCTCTCTCTCTCTCTCCTTCACCCCAACCAGTCGAGGCAGATGGCCGCCCACCCTGAGCCATGGTTCTGCTCGAGGTTTCTGCCTCTTAAAAGGAAGTTTTTCCTTGCCTCTGTCGCCTAGTGCTTGCTCTTGGTGGGAACTGTTGGGCTTCTGTAAATATCATCATAGAGTACGGTCTAGACCTGCTCTTTTATGAAAAGCGCTGTGAGATAACTGTTGTTGTGATTTGGCGCTATATAAATAAAATTGAATTGAATTGAATTGAAAATTGAATTTGCATTTTGAGGCGAAAATTGATCGTCCGGGCTTAGTAAATTCACAGAGTTTCTAGCCTTCTGCAAAACAGGATGCAAAAGAGTCTGAAGACTTCAGCAACACATCTCTTATTGCGGCGTATACCACTAAAACAAACAAACCAGACCCACCAAAACAACTAAAACGCCGCAACAGGCTGAAACATGAGGATTTACACTGAAGACGCGTCACGCTGAACCATTGTAACATATTGAGTCTCTTTATTACGCTATTTCACATACATAGAAAACCAATCACTTACTTTGTGTGATGCATGTTGTAAGCAGTGCAAAGGTACCTCAGAGACATCAGTGAAAGATGTTAGTAATGATGACGACGATGGTAACGGTCAACAGAAAGTTTTCCTCATGCTCACCCTGCAGCCATGATCAAAACCCAAGCTTCCCCACAGGTGAGCACACACACATTAATACAGACACCACGCCCCCGGTCACACCCACAGTAACTGATGACGTCACGATGCGCGTGCATGTACACTACAGTGCAAAGAAAAGAGAGGAAACCTAATAAAAACCCAAACAAACCCAGTGTATGGCTCCTACATCTCTTAATTCAACAAGTCTCTTAATTTGACTATTTCTTGCCTTTATGGGCTACACTATTTAAATCGGAGAGAGTAGTAGTAGAGACAGTAATGAATTTGCTTTTTTATGTCTTTCTTCTAAATCAAACAGCTCAGAGACCAAAGGCCCAACTGAGAGCTGTCAGGAGAACTATTCCAGCAGGGGGCAGTGTGACCCTGAGCTGCTCTGTGAACCCGTCATCTGGTTGGAAATACTTCTGGTACAGAGGAGAGAAAACCTCTGAACCCCTGAACACACAAGATGCTGTCTTCATCTCAGATGGACAAATCAGTGTCTCACAGGGAGGACTCTACTGGTGCAGAGGAGGAAGAGGAGACCCAGTTTACTACACAGAGGACAGCGATGCAGTCGGTAAAGAACAAAAAGGCTATTTTTCAATATGATGTGGAAAAACAAATGCAGAAATAATACATTGTGTGTTTAGGTGTAATGATTAAGACTGAAGAATGATTAACACTAAAACATTGTGTTTAATGTTAAACCTTTTCTAATTTTTGTGTTTGGGGCCTTTTGATCATGGACAGTCACAAACAGGGCTGTTGTGACTCTGCAAACCAGCTGGCCTGAGATATACAGAGGAGAGAAGATCACTCTGAGATGTGAGATCAAGGACGGAGGAGACACTGAGTGGGAGTATAAGTGGTTAACACCCCACTCAGACACAGTGACAAAACACACATACGGAGTTATCAGCGCTACTGTTAACAGTGGTGGGAACTACAGGTGTATGGGTGAACACAAAAAAACCCAATTATATTCAACAGAGTGGAGTGATCCCTTCATGCTGAGAGTGTCGGGTAAGTTGGACTGCACTGATTCATTGTGAAGATGTCATGATTTGAACTATCAGCCAAGTCAGCGACAAACTGTGTGTTGTTGTTTTGTTTGTGTGTGTAGCATTCGAGATGTAGTAAAATTTTATGTATTCACACAATGTTGGGCAGTTACACGTTACTCGGGGCGGAGCTAGACTCTCAGCACAGTGGGGCCCACCTGCTACCTGCTACATGATGTTGGACTCGCTCTGAAAGTCCACTGAGCCCGTCTGCGGCGCGGCTTCAGAGTCTGGCCATTCTAGTCAATGCTTGTGCTCACACCAGAAGCCTTGCAGTGCGTCCCAGAAGCGTCTCTGCGCTCTGCTCTGTGGAGAATAGGCAGCCAGTCTATTTTTTAAGAGAAGCCGCGTCAAGCAGCACAGAGCAGATGAACCGGGCAGGAAGTCGGAAACAGAAACGGCATAAAGAATCCAGTTGATTTTCAAAATAAAACAACCTGTGCAGACTCAAACACAGTTAAAACAGACAAAAAAGAAACCATTTAACTAGCCTTCTTAACCATTGTAGGAGCACACACTAGCAAAGCAAACACTAATCACCAAATCAACTAAATCTAAACATGTCAGTAAAATCAGGTAGGCAAAATGATCTTATTCTGAAATGCTCCCAGTGGGATGTGCAGTCTTACAGACTATGGAACAAAACTGTTTCACAGAGAGCTGTGAAGAAGGTAGTAGAATCACAAAAAGGACATATTAAAAATAAGTCATTAACGTGGGGCAGGCTACACGCTCTGCTGCTGAGACGGAGTATGGGAAAGATTGAGTGCCGATACACATGGCAACACGTGAACAACATGTGAACAACATGTGAATGAGGAGTGCTGGTCACAGTGCTGACAAATTAGTGCTGGTAACCCTGGAGTGCAGGCTGGGTGGTCCCAGACCACATAGAGCACTCTGTAAAATATTACAACTAGGGACTTTCTTGATTTTATGTAAAGGGGACGTTTGTAACTAGAGTTGGGAAATATTACGATATTTGATTGTGAACGATTAAAATGTCTCCATGCAGGGGCGCCATGTAGTGGGGAAAAGGTAGGACAATTCCAAGGGCCCCTGACTGACAGGGGCCCCAAAAATAGGTAAAAACTAATATCAAATTATATTTATATAAACCATCATGTATCTGCATGAAATGGTTCAGTCCTGCCTCAGTGCACTGTGATTAGTGTTTAGATGCAGTCAGAAACACAGTGATCACAATGTTGCCTAGTAAATCAAAATCTGGTTTTCAAAAAAGGAAAGAGAAAAAACGAGAGAAGAAAGACATGTCAATCTGTAATCCAGTTTTTCACTAAGAAAGGTTGGCAGCCTTTAGTCTGTGAGTTATATTAACCTGTTGGCTTGATGTCCACAGTGAAATAATCTAGGTAGCTGCAGACTAGTGTTAGCCTTCATTTCATCAGCATTTAATCAGTGTGCAGGGAAACGTTTAGCAAAAGATTCATATTGAATCATTGTCCCTGCCCCTTTTAGCAGACTAACAACAGATGAGTCAGCAGCAGCCCAGTCTCCCCATAACTGTAGCCTCCCTGTCCCAGTGAAGAAGGTGAGCAGCACTGTGTGAATGACAGGCCAGTTAGCATCATGCCAGGGAGTCTGTGGGGATTTCTCTGTCTCTCTTGCTCTTTTTATCATAATAAAAAGAAAATGAAATATTTATTAATGACAGAAATTCAAACACAAATTATTTTCTCACATAATGATCATTATGAGATAAAATAAAAACAACCTCCTGTCTGTACTGGATGCTGGACAGTTGGAAACAGTGAGTAGCTCACCTGTAATTTACAGACAATATTAAAATAATACAGTTTGATACGTTCATTTAGATTTAATTATGGCTGTTAAATGACCGTTCAAAGATTGCCATAAGGACATTTTTATGGTGGCTTTTAATCTTGCATCAAATAGTGAACTGCATACTGTTTGCAGACTTGCATGTACAAATCACCAGCAGTAAATATTGTGCCAGCACTAGTGTTGAACTACAAGAAACAAGACATTTGCAAGCCTTTAACTCGAGTTATGTAAAGCTTTTGATGGGACAGTTAGGTCCTAGAGATGTGGTGACAACAGCTACGCAGAGGGGGCCAATTACATCTCTTGTCAAGGGCCCAAAGTTTCTGGTGGCGCCGCTGTTTCCACGATCTGCCTTTTCAGAGAGATCGTGCTCAGTTTCTGTGGCTCATACACGCAGTTCAACATCGCAAGTCAGCTGCCTGCGTCCTCCGCTGTCTACAAAGGAAACACTGTAACTGTTGGGCCTCGTAAACATCAAAGTTCCCCGTGTGCCCCGCTGCTCTGCCTTAACTCTCTGGGATTTACGGAGTTTGCTGATGAACAGAAAGTTACTTGTTGCTATAGTTACCGGTGACCGTGGCTAACTAGCTGCTGTTATATAATTAGCTCAGTTAGCTTAGTGGTCATAGCTGACTCAGCCCGGACTGGCAGCACCAGGGGAGAGTTTTGTGTTTAACGTTACACCTGTTAGTGAAGCACTGCAAGGTTTCAGGCAGGATAGAGCGGCATGAACGGGACTGAACACAGAGACCAACAGGGAATATATTACCGAGGTGATTTACATCATTTACTTTTTGCTAAACCGCTAACTGTGTCTGTAGCTAGTTAGTTTGGTTAGCCGTGCTGCCAGCTGTCCTTTATTAGCTGAGTCAGCCCCGGGGTGCAAATGAGTCAAACCTGGAAAGAAAACCACCTCGGTCCTGTAACCTTATTCCCTGCTGTCAAAATTGGCCTCTGTCGGTTTGTGTTGGGTCCCGGTCCGGCTGCAGTCATGACAGGGGGGTTAACGCACTTTAAGCGCCAATCAAGATCTGCAACATACGGTGGCTCCCAGGGCTCAGTGAGGAAAATTTTTTTGAGGACTACTTTGCATTCCCTCGCAATATGTTTCCGTTACCTCGCAATACCTTGCCGTAGTAGCATGAACATTTAGCCTCTAGGCTAGTGAGTGGACAGTATTGCATAATGTTATTTACAAGGTCTTGATCCACATACCGAATAATAAAGAAATGCCGTTTCTTGCGGTCCAATGTGCTAAAAACAAAGTCACAATAGCCTATTCAACTTACAAGACACGAAACAAAAAATAGACATGCTGGCCAGCCAAAAGAAAGAATGGCATTTATTGTTTAATGCAGCAGTCATTAAACCAAAGTTACTTTGAATCATTTGTTATTTTTAATGTATCTTCAGTAGGTTATTTTATGAGCTTTTCACTATTAGTCAGGCCCGCACAAATAAGACTGTAATTTACAGTATGACACTAGATGAGACAGCTGATCTGTATACTGTCAGGGGAGTGAGAATGGCATACAGGGCTGGAGCATTATAAAGTGCGTAGCCTAATAATGCAACCCCAAATCTGAAGTATGTTCACCTGTATAGCCTGTTTCTAACCTATTTAAATAGTAGCAGCATCAGAAGTAGGTTACTTAACATTAGCGGAGCCCTGATGGCTACAAGCTTCTGAAATATAAGCCAGTAGCGGGAGCAGCCTAATAACAGTCGGCTATGTAAACAGTGTGGAAGTGCCGTAGCAGCATGAACATTTAGCCTATAGGCTAGTGAGTGGACAGGATTGCATAATGTGAGATATGTAGCCTCCATATGAAGTCTGACACTGGAAACAGTGTCCATTCACTTTGACTGTTTAAGCACCAAGCATCACCGATGTAACCACAGAATCTGCTTCCTCTCATCTCGGCGGAGCCTTGTGCTCTGACAGAACACGGTGTGCCCGCTGCATGCTCCAGGACATTGATGGGGCAGGTCTGTGTAAAGATGTCGGCTTAATAGTCTTCAATTTTCCGGTGTTTGGCAGCATGAGTCCCATCTCCTCCAGACCGGACATTTACTGGGAGCAGCCTTATGTCCAAGCTGGTCCAGTATGGCTCTATCCCGGCTGTCTTCCCTCTCCTCTGGAGCGATCACCCGCCGTGGTGCCTGGTCCTTTTTGATTAAAGCCTACATAGATATGCCTATTGAGCAGTAGCAGGCTACTATATCAACGCAGGAAATTCTCCATTCAAAGTAAAATTCAATAAGCTGGGGTGTTACGCTGAGAGCAGCTGAGCATATGGCTCAGAAGTAGGCTAACGGAAGAAGACAGGTATTGAGAGGTAACGCAAAACATGTTGCGAGGTAATGCAAAAGTATTGCGAGGTAACGCAAAGTAGTCCTCAAAAAAAAATTCCTCACTGAGCCCTGGGAGCCACTGTAGCAACAAGTCCCTCCCTGTCTTTGTGTTTTTAAATGTGCAGAAAAAAACAGAAAATTCTTTCATAAGAACAAAATAAATCAGTCCTTTTAAATCAGGCTATATTGTATATGATTAGTAAAGTAGTGTTATTTTTCTCTTTTAAACAAACAACTTGCAAAACAGTCTTGAAAACCAACAAGAAAATGAATCGTGATAAGATCGTGAAACGTGATCCTGCCTGAAATAAATTGAGTGAATTGATTGAATTTTTCACTCTTCAACACTTAAACACAGGTTTTGTCAAAGGTCACAAATGTAGCATTCAGTAGCTCTGTAGCCAATTATTATGCAATGACATTTTATATAATTTTATTTTATGAATGAGTTTCTAAATTTGGGCAAAACCTGAGAAAGAGCCTGAAAACTTGAGCAACACATGCTGCATCTTAAATCAAAGAATCAAAACACAACAGCATGCTTCATTAAGTTATATTGTTCATTATTCATCCTCCCTGCAGGTCCCTGTTAGCCATTCCCGCTAACCGCTTCACCTCCACTCCCCTCCTGCTCACTCTGTCCCTCGGCCCTGTCACGGTGACTCTCTCCCTCTGCTTCGCTGTCCAGCTGACGTTGAAGCTACTGAAGCCCCGGTAGCCAACTTATCCGTTATTTTGGCACGTTTGGTGGCATCAGTCTCAAGATTTATTTTTATTTCTTTGGCCCGCAACTTCCCCCTTTACTGACACAAGAAACAGAGGGCAGAGGGGGAGGGAGTGGGTGCTAGTCACAGATGTGGGCCAGCCCAGTGTCACTAGGCCTGTAGACAAATGAACCAATGTGCTGCTGTCTGTGCTTTATGGGTTGGTCGTTGGCAACAGTTATACAGTTATATGAATAAATATCTTATATTAGCGCCAGATAACCAGTCCACCCCTGGAGGTCACCCTCTACAGCAAAACCGACAGCAAGTCAGACCTGCACACACGCACAACAGCAGACCATCAGTTTCGCTCAGTCACAGACCCACATTCACAATGCTGAACCAGAACCAAAGACACCACCATAAAATACAGGCGGCATTATCATTACTTATTCCTAATTCTCATCATTTCAAGTTTCAAGTTTTAAGTTTCTCTATTTTTAGCAAAGATCTCCTTTCCTCTTGCTCATGTTGACTGTGAATGAAATGTAATCTAAATTCAATAAAGTAGTAGTTTCTAGTGAAATTGATGTTTGTTTTGATTGCTGTGTCAAAATATTTCATCTTGCAAATTTGGTGAATTGTTCTCCTGGATAGTTTCAGTTGAGATAAATACAAGAGAACACAGGAAAAGAGAGAGAGGTTTAAAACTGGACTAAAACTGAATGTATTATTTTCCTCCTGGGATGCACAGACAGTAATTTCCTTGTTTTATGTCTTTGTTCTAAATCAAACAGCACAGAGACCAAAGGCTGAACTGAGAGCTGACAGGAGAGACTTTCCAGCAGGGGGCAGTGTGACCCTGAGCTGCTCTGTGAACCCGTCATCTGGTTGGAAATACTTCTGGTACAGAGGAGAGAAAACCTCTGAACCCCTGAACACACAAGATGCTGTCTTCATCTCAGATGGACAAATCAGTGTCTCACAGGGAGGACTCTACTGGTGCAGAGGAGGAAGAGGAGACCCAGTTTACTACACAGAGGACAGTGATCCAGTCAGCATCAACAAAATTAGTGAGTTTGATATTTGTTTTTTTATGGAAGTGCATTGCATTCACCTAGGAAAAAAATGTAGACACCTTATCGCGTAATTACCAGAAAATATCTCATAATTATGAGAAACGTTAAGAACATCAGTCATCGCTGAACTACACTACAGGAGAAGTGGACAATGATTGCACTATTGAATTTAATCTTCTTTTATTTCTCTATATGAGTCACTGGGAAATATTGATGTTACTTAATGTGGATGGCATTAATATTTGTATATCAGCATTGACTGTGGTCAAGAGAGCTACGCTTTGTTTTGTGATGCGTGTATTTGGTATTTACTAGGCATTACGGTAACATCACGTTACAGCAGATTCTACAAATAAAAGTGAGCTTCTAGTGAACATATTGTAATATTCAACGGGTGTGGCAGGAATGAAAGATTAAATGAAATATCTAAATAAAGAATAAATGATTAAGACTACAAGAGTATCTAAAAAATGTTTAATATTTTAACTGAATTTTCTCTAAATTCACTTTGATGTTAAAAGAAAACCTGTTTCCACTGAATCATTTCACTTCAGAGTGATTGCAGACCACCACAGCGTCCCTCAGTCAATAGCAGAGCTATCTGATGTAGGATTTCAAAATTAAAGCTTATATTTCACTTCATTTCACTTCAGAGAGAAAGTGATGACTATAGAGGCTTATGGTGAATTTCAAAATGTACACACACTTATAAACAATATATATGTCACTTGGATATGTTTTTGTTTTCAAAGGAAAGGCACATTGTTTATTGATCAGCTGATCAGAAACACAGTGTAGACATTGTTAATGTTGTAAATGACTCTAGTTGCTTCAAACGGATGATTTGTAATGGAATATCTACAGAGGCCCATTATCAGCAAACATCAGCCCAAATGGCACGTTGTTTTTACTAATGCAAGTTTATCACTTTATAAGGCTAATTGATCATTAGAAAGACATTTTGCAGCCATGGTAGCACAGCTTAAAAACTGTTGTGTTGATTAAAGAAGAAATAAAACTGGCCTTCTTTAGACTAGTTGAGTGTCTGAAGCATCAGCAATTGTTCCATTTCAGGCTCAAAATGACCAGAAACAAAGAACTTTCTTCTGAAACTTGTCAGTCTATTCTTGTTCTGAGAAACGAAGGCTATTCCATGTGAGTATTTGTCATAGATCTGAAGCTCTCGTAACCATTGTGCAAAGAAAAATACATATCTCAGACCAGCCAATAAAAGAAAAGATTAGGGCGTAATCTTTCCTACATCAGATAGCTCTGGTATTGACTGAGGGACACTCACACGTCACTGTGAAGTGAAATAAGTCAGTGGAAACAGGAGGATTTCTTTAAACATTAATCTGAATTCAGAGAAAATTCAGTGAAAATGTCAGACATTTTTCAAAAATTTGTGTAGTCTTAATCATTTATTTATTTCATTATTTCATCTTTCATTTCTGCCACACACATTTAATATTACATTATGTTCACCAGAAGTTCACTTTTATTTTGAAATCTGCTGTGACACGATGTTACCGCAATGTTGACATACTGATATTAATGCCATCCACATTAATACATCAATATTTCCCAGAGTCTCATACAGAAAAGGGGAAAAGCAGTTAAATCATGAGCTCAATCATTGTCTTTCACTGTAGGTCAGCGATGACTGATAGTCTAACTAGCCTTCCTTAACTTTATTGATAATTAGGAGTTCCTGATCTCATTATAACATCTGTTTTCGTAATTACGAGATAAGGTGTCTGATTTTTTTTCTTTGCTGAATGCAATGCGCTTCCATAATTTTTTAACATAATGTAAAAAATGTTGTATCCATAGCTTTAATTAATAAATCAATTACGTTTTGATGTAGATTCACCATTTGTATCCTTTCTTCTTTTATTTTTGTATCCTAACTGGGTATTTTTTGTGTAAACAGTGTCCAACAGGGCCGTTGTGACTCTCCAACCCAACTGGACTCAGATCTTCAGTGGTGAGATGTTCACTGTCAGATGTGATATCAAGGGAGGAGGAACACTAAATGGACGTATGAATGGACACCAGACAAATTAAACAGACCTCCAACAGACAATGAATACAGGATCAGCAGAGCTACTGTGTCCCACAGTGGAGACTACAGCTGTAAGGGTAGAAGAGACTCATATTCCTCAACAAGTGGAGTGATGTCATCAAATTGACAGTATCATGTAAGTTGGACCGTCTGTCATCTGTAATGAAAATGTAAAATGTAAATAACGCAACAGAAAACAACACAATTATGTCGCTCTCTTCAGGTCACACAGTAACAAAGACACTATCATAAAATACAGGCGGCATCATTACTTCTTCCTAATTCTTACCATTTCAAGTTTTAACTTAACCTATTTTCTCCTTTCCTCTTGCTCATGTTGACTGTGAATGAAATGTAATCAAAATTCAATAAAGTGTAGTTTGTAGTGGTAATGAAATGCCAAAGTATGATGTTTGTTTTGATTGCTGTGTCAAAATATTTATCTTGCAAATTTGGTGAATTGTTCTCATGGATATTTCAGTGAGATAAACACAAGAAACACAGGAAAAGAGAGAGAGGTTTAAAACTTGACCAAAACTGAATGTATTTCTTGCCTGTGGGGCTGCACAGACAGTAATTTCCTTGTTTTATGTCTTTGTTCTAAATCAAACAGCAAGAGACCAAAGGCTGAACTGAGCGCTGACAGGAGAGACTTTCCAGCAGGGGGCAGTGTGACCCTGAGCTGCTCTGTGAACCCGTCATCTGGTTGGAAATACTTCTGGTACAGAGGAGAGAAAACCTCTGAACCCCTGAACACACAAGATGCTGTCTTCATCTCAGATGGACAAATCAGTGTCTCACAGGGAGGACTCTACTGGTGCAGAGGAGGAAGAGGAGACCCAGTTTACTACACAGAGGACAGTGATCCAGTCAGCATCGACAAAATAGTGAGTTTGACATTTGATTTGTTTTTAAACATTTAAAAACAGTTTTGAATCCATAATTATTAATTGATAAATAGATTTTGCTGTAGATTTACCATTTTGTCATTTTTGTATCCTCACTATGAATTCATGATCATGAACAGTCCCAAACAGGGCTGTTGTGACTCTGCAACCAAACTGGTCTGAAATATACTCAGGAGAGACGATCAGTCTGAGATGTGAGATCAAGGATGGAGGAGACACTGAGTGGGAGTACGAGTGGAAAACATCCAGCTCATACAAACCTTTAAACGACAGTGAATACAGGATTAGATCTGCTTACTCATCCCACAGTGGAGACTACAGGTGTAAGGGCAGAATGAAAAGTGCACAGCAGTCTTCAACAGACTGGAGTGATCCTGTCAAATTAACAGTATCATACAGTGAGTCACATCACATTTCTCTCAAAGTGAATATTATACAGTTCATTTAAAGGTTGTTACATGTTTTTATTTTAAAATCCCTCTCCAACAGAGCCCCAGCCTGTCCTCACTGTGTCTCCATCCTGGCTGAGTCCTGGAGCCTCAGTAACTCTGAGCTGCAGAGTTAAAGATCCATCTGCAGGATGGAGGTTCTTCTGGTTTAAGGCTGTTCCCAAACTATCAGCCAACTACTACGACCAAGAGCTGCTACCTGGCAGCAGCAACGGGACTGAACAGGATTCCTACATCGTTCATGGACAGACACACACAGCAGGATATAAGTGCAGAGCTGGAAGAGGAGATCCAGTGTATTACACTGATGACAGTGAACCAAAGTTTGTCTGGTCTGCAGGTCAGTTTGTTTCTGTCTGTGCTTCTCTCAAGATGTTTTGTCTTCACCTCGGTTCATCCACTTTCTGTCTGTGACCAACATACAGTATCTTTAAAACTAACATACTGACAAATAATTGGCTGTGTACATTCATGCTCCCCCAACAGAAGAAATGTATTGACTGTGGTGACCTTGTGATCTTTCCTCTCTCACCAGCATCAAGACAAACTTTCTGCTTCCACCTTACTGGGTGATTTTACGTACTGGACTGGGAGGATTTCCTTGTTTCCTTCTGACTTTATTCTGTTTTCTTTTTTAATTCATCTGATAGCATAAAAAAGAGACATTTTGCTGAAACTTTATTTCTTTATTGCAATGAGTACTTTTACTTTGGATACTGAAGCTCATCTTACTGCTTATACTTTACTGACACAACAGGCAGGACGTGTAGTTAGAAGACACCTGGTTAGCGGTCAGGTAGGTGTGAGACAGACAGAGGAGTGAAAATCAGTTAATGACAAACCAAAGAAATCAGCAGGTTAATGGACAAGTTGAACAAACAGCTAGAGACGACTTTAACAAATAAGAGGAAAACACTGACTGTGTATAGAGAGACAATGCAGCACGTTTCAGTTTGAAATACTCACCTCTGTATCTTTGAAAGATGGCAGGTGAAAGTAGGTAGTTTCCCACTTTACAGACAACAGCAGCTGTAGTCACTTGGTTGTTTATCATTTAAAATAAACTCAGATTGTAGCAAGTTTTCAAGGTAGAAACCAGTTTCACCAAAACACTGCACCTTGTTTTAATGTTAGCACTAATACTCAGCAATAAAGGAATATTTGCGTTTTGGCATTTTAAATCTTAAGATCTCTGTTTGCTTTGACCCATTATTACATGTTGTTTTTCAGATTTTCATTCATCAGCGTCTCTCACAGTGAGTCCTGACAGAGTGCAACACTTCACCTCTGACTCTGTCTCACTGAGCTGTGAGGGAAACTCTACTGAGTGGAGAGTGAGGAGGTTTACTAAAGACCGCTACCCGTCATACTCATCATGTCGCTCCTACTGGGGCACAATGACTGGATCCACATGCAGCATAAACAGTTACCAGCAGAGTGATGCAGTGTACTGGTGTGAGTCTGGATCAGGAGAGTTCAGCAACACAGTCAACATCACTAAACAGAGTATGGTTTCATTATGTTTTCTGTCTTGTATAAATTATTTTAAACATCATATTATGTGTTTCAACATACTGAATATTATAATACATGAGGAGGATGATGTACTGACATTCTGACAAGAGTTTGGCCCATTACTGCTTCATGGTATCTGAGAAATTAACCATGAACCAAAACCTTTTATCTATTTACTGTAGATTTAACATATTTTATAATACTTGAATTTTAATGTGAGTTTTTAATCATTAGTAAATAACATCAACATTTAACATTTGTACATAAAAAGTTAAAATAAGAAAATCTCCCTCTTTTGTTACATTTTGTTGTCTTTAATCATTCACTTAAAATGCTCAAGATTTATGTCATTGATTTGTTTTTCCTAAAGATTATTACACAACAAATATTATTAAATCAGGTAGAAAATCTGACGTCCTCTGCACTGCAGTATAATTCAGTCATGTGCTGATCATACAGGTAATGCCAAATAATTTAACTTAAAGAAACTGACTGCACACCAGAAACTTCTGCTCTGGACCAACTTCAAACATCTTTGGTTTTTATTTAAAAAACTGCAAACATATTTCCTGACCATGTCAATATTTCACGCTGAGATTTTTAGTGTGTTTTGCCCTTAAAACTAAAACTTTTAACCTTCTCACTGGTATTATTGTGTCAGCCACAAGTGTTTCCCTGAGGTTTAAACCATTTTGTAAACCACTCCCTAAAATCTATACTGGCCACCAAATCTAATTGTTTTCAGTAACATAGTAAGTATTTAATAAAACAGTGATTTTAACCATGTACAAATGTCACAGTGAGTTTTTATCTCATTCTGTTTCCAAAGAGAGTCACAGTCACATGTCTCTCCTGCTGAGGCTGAAACACATTTCATCACCTTACTGTGACGATGACTGGATGTAGCTATACAGAAGATTTGTGTGGGTTTATGTTTGATCTGTCCTTACCGTAAAACTTTAATGAATAGCCGAGTCCCAAATGTGGGTAAACATTTTGACAAATAAAAGCAGGTCTCGATTAGACGCCTGGTCTGTTTTTACAGAAGTTCTTTGGATGTATAAAACCACTTAAAGCTCGTGGGGGTCGCCCTCTTTAGCTGCTTCTAGGCTGCATAGATTGTGAATACAAATATAAATGTTTAAACTTTTGTTGGTATGTACGTGCTGCACATGTTGGATCATTTAGATTCTCCACAATTTAATCTGTGATCTCTTCTCATCGTCCTCCATCCAGTTTTTCTGAAGTTCTGCAGCAGCTGATCTCTGACTGAAACCTCATATTCTGTTTTACAGATGAACATATTATCCTGGTGAGCCCTGTCCGTCCTGTGACTGAGGGAGATCCTGTTAGTCTCAGCTGCAAGTTCAGGACAGAAAAATTAGTTTCAGATGTGTTTTTCTATCGAAATGACAAACTGATTCAAAATGATAGCAGAAGGGAGCTGAACATCTCTGCAGTGTTGAAGTCAGATGAGGGTTTCTACAAGTGTCAACACTCAGGAGAAGAGTCAGCACAGAGCTGGATGTCAGTTAAAGGTGAGTAGGATTAAAACAACTGCTGCATCTTCTTCTGTGTAAACTGTGTTTCTGTCTGAGAAAGAAACATGGTCAAATACTGACCTGAATCTGAAGTAGCATCAGTTTCAGCTGATTTCACCTGTTGGAGCTGGAGAAAGTCTGCATCAGTGGTTGTGACAGTCATGTTTATTGTGAATGGATAATTTCACACTGTACTCTGTTATATAGTGTACTATAAGTACTCATGTGTGTCAAAACATTACATGACATTGAGACTGGGATTTATGTTGTTTATCTACGTGCATATGTGTTTATACCTCTGCATTTGTGCTTGAATGTGTTGTAGTTGTGACATGACTAAATTTTAATAAGCTATAAGTTAACAGTTATTTATATTTATTTATTGTTTTATCAGTGTCCAGACCTGAAAGCTCTTCAGTTCCTGTACCGTTGATTGTTGGGCTGGTTTGTGGAATCGTACTTATTCTTCTTCTGCTCCTTTTGTATCGCTACAGACCGTCCAAAGGTGAGACCTTTTCTTCTTTTATTAGATATTATGTGATTTAATTATTCAAACACACGTGTTCTGATCTCATCACATAGAATAGCAGAATAACAACTTACAAAACCAAACCATGTAACAACAAATGTCTTTTTCACAGATTCCTGCTCCATCAGGTTGGTACAACACTCCCTTCTCTAATTTTGAACACAACAGCAACATTTCTTGTTCCTTTTTATATGTATTGTGTTTGATTCATGTTGTAGGCCAATCCAGTCTGAGAGCACTAATCGAGGTTCTGCTGAAAACTACTCCTCTCCTGTCCACGGTAAGCATTTAATTGATGTATATCTACACACTTTTTTAAATTCACATAGTGTTTAATTTGTATCGTGCAATTAAATAGATTAATTTGACAGTGGCTGCAGGTGATGCTCCTCTCTATGAAACAATCAAAGGCTTTGAAAACACACAGAGTGGTACAGTATATACCTTTTTATCATTTTATTAACATGCACTGCAACAAACTCCTGTTAAATTTAAGTAAAACATTTTAGATGTGAGATTTCTTTTTCTCTTTTTTTCAAGATGTCTAGCAACCAGATCAAATTACTTAAAATAATATTAGTGCTGTTTTTGTATATTTCAGTTGCAGATGAGTCCCAGGATTTAACATATTCTTTGATCGAGCTTAAAAACGTTAGAAAGAAAAGTGAGTACTCTAAATACATAAATAGGAAACAGTTTAGAGATGTTTTGCCCTGAAGAGTGAAGTATTGATTTATTGGTTTTGGTTTCATCTGGTTTTCTTAACAGAGAAGCGACATGAACCAGAGGAGGTCTGTGTTTACTCTGAGGTGAACGCTGGGACTGCAGGTACAGTCAGAGACAACAGTCATGCTCAAAGTTTATCTTGAAATGTGTCGTATCATTACGCTGGAGGTAAATATGGTTCAGCATGCAGTTCAGTTAATCTCAGTGACCTTCGGTATCTACTACATACTGTCACTAGGCGTCACCAGAGCTGGAAATTGTCAAGTCTCACACACATCTGGGCCTTTAGGCTCTTAATATTTCTAAGTTTGTATGTTTTGTGTCAGCATGTGAATCTTATTGTGTGTTGGGTGTCGTGTGTTTCCAATATATTTTCATCTCACAGATTAAGGCATTAAAAAAACACATTATCTGAAATGTCAGTGTGGTGACAATTTGTCTGAATTTTCATTTACATTCAAAATCTGACGCCACTGTACTTGAAAAACACAAGAGCATCCCAAGTTTCTTTTGTTTTTTATTCTACCCGTCAACCCGCCCGTTCATCCTTCCAGCTGTACAGTATGTATATGTCTGCTGAGCAAACACATCCTGAGATCTGGCTTCTGTTTCAGACGACAGTCTGATGTATGCCCAAGTCAACCGCCGCAATAAAGGTAAAGCCAAGAAAAACAAAGGTGAGTAAAGTCTGCATTCACCTGCAGTTGTTATTGTCCAACATGTTGGCCTCGGACTCAGAGAAATTTACAGTATGTAACGTGTTCAACATTTTTATAACTATAGATGTTTGTAGTTACTTATTGTTTTTATTACTTATGAACCGTTTGTAAGTAATGTTTATTTATTTTACATTTTGTGTTTATGCCTTATTTAAGAACAGTTTACATACATCAGTAAATCCTGTGAAAGCTCTACTACTCTGCTGGTTTGCTCTGTGGGCGTTACAATACTGTCATTCTTTGTGTTCGTGGAGACGTTAACTCTGACAGTGTATCTGTCAGTTCAGTACATTATTAATTCTGACTTTATTGGCAATTTCTTCTCTCCATCTACAGGAAAATCACCTCCTGCAGCAGCTGATGAAACAGTTTATTCTGAAGTCAAACCAGGAACAGCTCTTGGTAATAAAGCTGCTATATGATCTCACTACAAATCCACAAACATGTTTATTTCAGCACCTCCAATAAAGTGCAGCTCACAGTCCCAAACAGAGTTCAAGTTTGCACCTCTGTTTTTAGATGTTAATATTACAAAACTCCAGCAGCCTTGTTACCACTGTCACAAACTGTCTGCGACTCACAGCGTGAGAGGGGGGTTCACCTCATTACCATGGTGGACACCGGTTGGTGTCGCATCAGCTGGGTGGAGATGATTCGCACAGCCAGTAGACGTTAGCAGTTATACATTTGATTTTCGCTGCGTGAAAAATTGATGTTTGACGTCCTGTGAAAAGTGTCAATTGTGTGAGTCTCACGAGTCAGCTCTTCACCTGACCAGAATTATTGTCACATTTTAATATCGTCTCGTCACACCCCTAGTATCTGCTGTGTACGACTACTGTGCATCACCAGAGATGGAAATTTTCAAATCTTACATATTTCTTGGATCTTTAAGAGTTTTTTAATATTTCTAAGTTTGTCGGTTTTGTATACAGAATGTGTTTGTTATTGTAAGTTGGGTGTAATTTGTTTCCAATATGCTTCCCTCTCACAGATATGGTATAAAACTGAATTGTTTATGTCAATAAAAAAAACAGAAGACACATTAGCTGAGGAGTCAGTGTGGTGACGATAACTAATTTGAGTTTATTTAGATTTCTCTTTAATATCAATATATCAGTACAGCCTATACACTTACAGTTGTAAAAAATCCAAGTTTCTTTGTTTTATTCTACCCGTCAATTCATCCATCCAGCTGTACAGTATTTACAGTCCCCTCCAAATGTATTTGAACGGTAAAAGGCAAATTCCTTTGTTTTGTTGTTCACTGAAGACATTTGAGTTTAAGATCAAAAGATGAGACAAGAGTTCAGAATTTCAGCTCTCATTTCCTGGTATTCACATCTAGATGTGTTTAAACAACTCAGGACATACCACCCTTTGTTTGAACCCACCCATTTTTCAAGTGAGCAAAACTATTGGAACATGTGACTGACAGATGTTTCTTGTTGCCCAGGTGTTGCCTTTTAGGTTGATTGTCCAAACATTAAATAGCTCTGCATGACTAGTCTAAGTTTTCATCCTTGGTTCAAACCTACAAAGACTGCATTTCCTGTTAAAGAGGATAAACCAACATGAAGACCAGAGAGCTGTCTGTGGGAGAAAAGCAAGCCATTGTCAAGCTGAGAAAAGAAGGAAAATCAACCAGAACTATTGGACAAACATTGGGCATAACAAGCACAACAATTTGGAACGTCCTGAAAAAGAAAGAAACTACTGGTGTACTGAGCAACAGACGTCAAACAGGACGGTCCTTAAGAGGAGACTGAAGGGAGAAAAACCCCGAAACAAACAAGAACTGAAAGAAGCTGCGGTAAAAGCCTGGAATAGCATCACAAATGAAGAATGCAACAGTTTGGTGACGTCGATGAGTCGCAGGCTTGAGGCAGTTATTGCAAGCAAGAGTTATGCCACCAAATATTAAATGTTATTTACTTGAAGATTATTTGTTCCAATACTTTTGCTCACCTAAGAATGCTGTGGTCTAATACAAACGGTGATATGTCCTGAGTTGTTTAACACATCTAGATGTGAGTACCAGGAAATAAAAGCTGAAATTCTGATCTTTTGAACTTAAACCCAAATGTCTTCAGTGAACAACAAAAACAAAGAAATTTGCTTTACCGTTCCAATACTTTTGGAGGGGACTGTATATGTCCGCTGAGCAACACCCTGAGATCTGGCTTCTGTTTCAGACAACAATCTGATGTATGCCCAAGTCAACCTCCGCAATAAAGGTAAAGCCAAGAAAAACAAAGGTGAGTAAAGTCTGCATTCACCTGCAGCAATTTACAGTATGTAACGTGTTCAACATTTTTATAACTGTAGCTGTTTGTAGTTACTTACTGTTTTTATTACTTTGTTAGTAACATTATATATTACATTTTGTATTTATGCCTTGTTTAAGAACAGTTTACATACATCAGTAAATCCTGTGAAAGATCTACTACTCTGCTGGTTTGAGCTCTGTGGGCGTTACAATACTGTCATTCTTTGTGTTCGTGGAGACGTTAACTCTGACAGTGTATCTGTCAGTTCAGTACATTATTAATTCTGACTTTATTGGCAATTTCATCTCTCCATCTACAGGAAAATCACCTCCTGCAGCAGCTGATGAAACAGTTTATTCTGAAGTCAAACCAGGAACAGCTCTTGGTAATAAAGCTGCCATATGATGATCATTCTGTAATGATTTATTCTGCAGATAATTTAATGGGTATATTTCAAAATAACACGTCAGACAGCATCCTTACATCGTGAATAAACCTATATCTTGATATTTTGTTGTTTTTCTTCCAGGTCTGTAAAGAGAGCTGTGTTGGTAAAGAAAAATGGTCGACAGCATTTTATAAACTTACTGTGTGGACGTCTGCTTTCAAACATGAGACATGTTCAGTGTTTTGTTTTTGTCAGCAGATTATATAAAAGAATGACATCATATGGATTTAATTTCTCTCTCTTCTAACATAAAGCACAAGACACAACTGAGGTGTAATCTAATCTAGCATTTATGGACTGCATATTATTAGTTTTCATATCATTTATTTTCAACTTTACTTTGTTTGTTTTTAACAGTTTGCTACAGTATATTTGAGCTTTAGTGACCAGGTGATAGTGCAGCTTTAAGGTCAGCGTCATTCTCAGTGTTAGATGAGAAAGATTAAGCTCAACCGTTACTTTAAGTAATGCTCTGCTATCGAAGAACATATCCTATCACATGTACACGTTTTCCTCTTTAATAATATATTTGTGAATGTGTTTTATTTTCACCTGAATGGATTTTATATTTTGTTTTGATCATTTTGTGCATCAATAAACGTTTTTTTCTGTCAGTTGTGATTTTAATTATTCAAAATGGACGAGCACATAAAAGTCCAGGCAAAACTGGACTTGGTGTTGGTTTTCAGGGACTGTTTGTTTAGTAAAAATGTTTCCTCAGCTGCTCTGAAAAGACACCTTGCTTTTGGATTCCATTGATGTTAAATTCAGTGCATCTCTATTGTATCAGGGTGAAGATAGAAATATAAATTTCCAGGTCTTTAAATTAGTATAAAATATTTCAGGTTTAAATATTTTTGAGTTTGTGACCCCGGTCAGTCACTGTGCAGTTAAAATGGAAGCTTTTTCCATAAATGACCAAAAGGGGACGCCAAACTGCCCTCATCCATCCATCATCAACTGCTTATCCTGCGTACAGGGTCGCGGGGGGCTGGAGCCAATCCCACCTTACCTTGGGCGAAAGGCGGGGTACACCCTGGACAGGCCGCCAGTCCATCGCAGGGCCACACATAGACAAACAACCACTCACGCTCACACCTAAGGACAATTTAGGGTCACCAATTAACCTAGTCTGCATGTCTTTGGGAGGAAGCCGGAGCACCCGGAGAGAACATGCAAACTCCACACAGAAAGGTTTGAACCCAACTCAAATCCTACTTTTTAAGTCTGAGACTCGAGCTGCTGTAGTTATGTCCCAGGATGCCATGTTAAGGTGACTCATGAGTCACATCATTAAAAGGCTTTAGTACTCTCTAACTAATCACTTATCCAGTTTTCAGCTCTTCATACTCTTTGACTTTTTCACATCCTGGTGAGGCCTGTTCATCCTGTGACTGAGGGAGATTCTGTGTATCTTTCCTGTAAACAGCAGACATTTAGTTTTCAATGTGGTTGTATATGAAAATGACAAACTCATTCAAAATGATACCAGAGGGGAGCTGAATATCTCTGCAGTGTCAAAGTCGGACGAAGGCGTCTACAAGTGGAAATGACAGATACTGATCTCCTCTCCACTAAATTCTGATTGCTTTTCATGGCTGATCATTAATCAGAGCCCCTGAGCTCAAAACACTCTCTCTTCACTGACTGATTCACTGGAAACAAGAATGTGAGAAAAACTATCCAGATATAATGTCATAACATTTACTGCTGGCCTGATACACTTAACTTAAAAGTTTATTTTTTCAATTAAATGATTGTAAATACTTTATTGACATTGATTTCTATCATTGATTTTCACTAAATCTGATGTAAAAGTTATCTTCATAACAAAGGTGTCCTCATAACTTCCATTATTGTTGATTTATGGGCAAAAAGTTGAAGAAAGTGTCCAGGCCTTCCTCTGCTTTGTCTCTGCTCAGCATGCAGTGAGTGCAGACACAGTCATGTTCACAGCTCTGCAGGCTTTCTCACATGCTGCATTATCTACTGTTATCTATACATTACACTTGACTCAATTTCTACCGTTTGTGCGGGGCCCCTCTTGTTTGCTGCGTATGAACACATTAGCTCTGGTGTGAATGTGGTGATTCCTGCTTTCACAGCAACACATCTTTGCTGTATGTGTGAAGAGGAACTGGAAAGTTGTTGCCTTTTTTCTTCTCAGCAGAGGCGGGCGGAGTAGCCACGGACTGTACTCAAGTAAAAGTACAAAGTTACAATAACAAGTAGGCCTACTCAACTGGAAGTTAAAGTGGCCATCAAAATAACTACTTGAGTAAGAGAACAAAAGTTTTTGCTGAAAGAATTACTTGAGGAGTACTTTTCCCCCAAGTCTTTTATTTGATGTGGATGTGACTGAATTATTTCAGATGGTCTTCCTCAAGTAAAGGTGAAGAACAGACACATTATATAAAAGTATTTATTCATGATTAAATGACAAGTCATCATCTCCTGATTAGATAATCTGCCACACTTTGTGTATTAATCAAGTGTGATCACATAATAATACATTAATATTATAGTCTGTTAACTAACTAAAGATTGTTGTTGTTTCATAATTTATTGCCTTTTAAATCCAGGTGTGTTCTCTTCTTACTCTTAGCTGAGGACTTTACATCAGTCACATCCACATGAAAAGTAGTTTGTCTTTTTGTGTGTGTTCATAATTTGGTCTGTCTTCATCAGCAGAGCCGGTGTTCTGACGATTTATGCTTCTTGATGAAAAATGATACTTTAATGCAAACCAATAGCGTCTAAGCCTACCCCTAACCAATGCACCTGAAAAGAACTGCAAAGTAGCACATCTTGATAGGTAACATAAATAGACAAAACACCAGTCCTGACCTCTCTGGGGCCCTAAGCAAAATTTTGCTATGGGGCCCTTCTACCTGAATCGTGAGCTGTGTAAACAATTTGCCATTGCAACATGAGACATTACTGTGCGCCTCGCGTTTTCGAACCTGCAAAGCGCGTTCTGTCTGATCGGGGCCTTATATATATATATATATATGTATATATATATATATATATATATATAAGGCCGGCCCAATCACATCTCTTACTAGCCCCACACCCTCCGCTCTCTGTTTCTTGCATTGCCCCCCCCAAGAAATCTTCAGACGGATGCCGCAGAATGCGCAAAAATAACCGATTTGTTTACTACCGGGGCTGCGATATTTTTAACATCAGCGGACATGTAGCCACCACTTTTTGAAAGCATTTGTGAAAATTGTGAAAAATAGAAAAATGAAAAATAGCTTGTACCAACAAATGTTAAATAACAAATAAAAATGCTATGAAAAAGGTTTATTTGCACAATAAGCCTGCTATGCAATGTAAATATATAAGAAAACAAAAAAAAGGTAAAAAAAAAAAAAAAAAAGTAACTTAAGCTAAAAACAATAATAAGCTACTGATTTGCTGCGTTATATTATATTTTTATATTCTGAATTGTCACCTGGCACTTGAATTTTGTGCTTCCCGTGTGCAGAAAATGTCTCAAGAATGCAGGAAATTAAATGTTTTATGCACAAAATCTATCGAATATTTCTTAATTCTTAATTTTTTTTTCTTGTGCAATGTTAAGTTTCACAGGCTAAGTGTTTCGTCACACCTCTAATCTAAGCCCTGAAATGGCAGGTTGGTGTACACTGCAAAAACTAAAATCTAAGTTAGATTAATTATCTTAACTGAAGGCAAAACATACTTGTTTTTTGTCTGACAAGATATTTCTTCTTACCCTTCTTTTTGCAGTGTATTGGTGAGCCGCCTGGGCCAAAAATGCCAGGGCTGATTTTTTGTCCCAGTCCAGCCCTGACTGCTGTTCCTGAAACTCTCATTGAGTTTTTTTCTCTTCTCGTACCCAGAAGTTATAGTTTCCCTTTTCATCGTCCCATCCAAACACTGACACTCACTTTCACCTTTGACACGACAGAGAGGCGGGGCCCTGCTTAACATGTGGGGCCCCAGGCAACATGCGTAGTGAGCGTATTGGACGGTCCGGCTGTGTTCATCAGACTACACCGATGAGCATGTCTAGTTAAAAGCACACAGTTCGTAGCTTGAATTAGGCCTTGTTTTGAAGCATAATTTACTGTGTGTAGCTATTTGGTATTAAACATATTAACACAACAGACCCTGCTCTCTGTCAGCTCAGCGTGAGCACTGTGATGTAAACTGACTAACCCAACCGGAGCCTGCTGCACCATCACGGTCTCATGCCAGGGCATCAAATACCAACACTTGTACTAAATTCTGTAAATATTAGCTTCTAGCACTATTTGAAAGCTGAACTAATTGTAAATGCTCCATACTTGTATAGTCTTTTCAACCAGAGAGCGCTTTTACATCTGCATTCACACACTGAGCTTAAGTGCTCAAACAGACACACACATTCATACACTGGCAGAACAGCCACCAGGGGCAATTCAGGGTTCAGTATCTTGCCCAAGGACACATACAGCCTGGAGGAGCCAGGGATTGAACCGCCAACCTTCCAATTAACCCGCTCTCCCTCCTGAGCCACAGCCGCCCCAGCTACCAGCTTCAGTCATTATTCTGCTCTGAACAGAGTCACATGAATGAGTGACTGCAGTAGAATAACAAAGACTTGGGACCAGATGACCACTTACCTCTTAACAAAGTAAAGGTCATGATTTTTCTTTAAAAATCTACTCAGAGTAAGAGTAGTATGTAGAGAGTAAGAGAGTAAGTATGACCAAAACTACTATGACAACTACAATTGACTCAAAAAGTTTACTTGAGTAAATGTACCTCTTACTGCCCACCTCTGCTTCTCAGACTTAATTAGCCTATTCTTTATAGCACAATGGAGCAAAACACTGAATTAATTATTGTTTATGCCATTTTTACTTTAAGATTTTTGAAGGACCAGGAACAAAACTTTGCACTGAAGATAGACAGGAAGTGTAAACATTTCAAAGTTTGCTGCAGTCAAAGTCACTGCAGTTGTTGGAGCTTTGTGTAAAAGGGAAGGAAGAACAGACAGGCTGTACTCAGAAGGAGAAGGTAAAGAAAAAATGTGCCCTCATAATATATTTATATGAAATGTAACTTCTCTCTTCCTGCTGCATCATTATTAATGCAAAGTAGAAACATTTGTCAGCAGCAGAGCGACAGTGTCCGTGCTGGATGTGAAGATGGGGCACACTTTGCTCTGTGTGCTGGGGTTATTCTGTGAGTACATCACTGACTTTACAATGTTGAGACTTTCAGAGGCAAACTCATGTTTTATCAACATGGTAGTTTAGTAGAAATGATCTTGGTTTCTGATTTGACTTGGTTCAGAGTTCAGGACTGTTAAATACACTACTGCACTAGTTCTTTTTGCACTAATGTTTTGCACAATGCATGTTCAGTTTATGGTCTGAGGTATTGTTATTGGTATATATTGTATAAAGCCTTTAATTTAACGTACCTCTGTACCAACTAACAGAATATCATCACAGAAATGTGTGATCCTGTTGATTGATAATCAATAGTTGCCTCTGATGAAACTCCAGCTGGATTTAAATGTCTTTGCTTTTTGTCTGATGAAGTTTAATCTTTATTTCAGTGCTGAATACACTCCTCTACGGACACGCTGAAGGTGACCTATTGTCTTTTTCTAGTTTTTACATATTGACTTTTAATCACATTCTCTTGTTGTGCTTGTATTTCCATGTATGTATTATTTTACTCCAAGTATCAATACAATTTATGAAATGTCTATATTACTGTTAGGTTTCCACTGAGGATTCAAGAGCAGACACAAGACTGTTGTCAAAAAACACAGGCAGGTTTCTTTTCAAAGTGCGCAGAGAAAACCAGATAGTTGGGGATGGGGCAGAGTAATCCAGGTTCCATGGGGATTAGGCTATGGCGTCCTGCAGTTAGACCTGGGTAGACTGACAGGCAGGCAGGCAGCATCTTAACGCACAGCGAACAAAGAAACAGGACGTTAGAAACAGATCGCAAAATGTACAACTAGATTTGACTCTGAGAGTTGGGCGGAGCAATAATAACACGAGAGGTAAACTGAAAAACTGGCGAGGAGCGGAAGATGAACCAGAGTATTTCACTGCATGGCTTGATTACTGATGAGCCACAGGTGCGAGATGCTGCAGATGGTGATGAGCCAGGAGCCAAACACACACACAAACACACACAAACAGACAGACAGACAGGACATGACAGAGACAGCAGGGAAGGGAAAATGGAGAAAACATAAGGGAGGGTTCGAGCCTAAAGGCCTAATCATGACAGCGGGATGATGAACATGAGACGAGCTCTGAGGACTCTGGTGTGGGGAAACGACCAAAAGGTGACACAGTCAGTTATTTTGGGTGGTGACATGGTGTGCTGGCTGCCACAGTGTGTTTTTTGGTGTTACCTCTGCTGAAGTCAGAAATTGTTGAATGCTTCACATACAGATGGTCACAAATGATAAATCAACCTAAAGTGTCTCAGTGAGGTTTTGGGACAAACCTTCAGAACAGCTTCAATGCTCCTTTGTCTCTGAACTCTGTTGGAGACGTTCAGTTGGAGTGAGATGTCGTTACTGTGAAGGAGATAACATAAGATTCACATCATTTTCATCCTCATCAAATCTTCAGGGAGCCAGTGTGCCCTGTATGTATGTACGAGTAATAAAGTCACTCTAACTGGATCCAGCAGTTCTGTAAAGTTGTTGTCACTACCACCAAGTTTAGCTGCAACAACAAGATTTATTTATGAGCTGTGTTGATGAGATCATCATGTTTGATTATGAATTATTATCATTATGAATTTAAATATAAAGGCAATCTTATTTTTAAGTTCTGAAATGTTAAACCTCGACTGACTTAAGATGCTTTTTTGACAGTTTGTCTCTCAGAAAGCATGCGGTATGAAGTTCAGGTCAGATAAGCTTTCTTCAGTGGAAGTTTTCAGGAGAAATGATGATCATCAATGTTAATGGAAAACAAGTTTAGATTTTACATTTTCTTCCTTCTTGTGTGATTTTTTTTATTGGGTACACATATTGAAAATATAGTTCTGTAATGAATAAATTATGTTAGCCCAGCACTCTGACTTCCCTGAGAAAATAAATGTGTGACATCCGTCATCATGGAAACAATGAGATGTTTGTTTGACCATCTTTAATTTGTTTACAGCCACAACAGAGGAGTTGAGGATGCAGTTTTATTTATAGACGTGTTCCCTTAACTTTTGCTTAATGTTTCACAGTAGCTGAAATGGTTTTGTTTCCTTCTAGATGTTAAATAGGTGGGATGACCTCTGTATTGTTTTGTTAAATATATTTCAAGACGTGCAGTTAATAAAGCCAGATGAGCTTTCTTCCTCTGTTTGCTCCCCTATTGTATCTCATGTAAATCCTCTTTTCAGTATTGTGGGAACACACGTTCAGTGTAAAAAGGTGGTGACTTGTCCATAGATCTTAAATCAAACAATGAAAACATAAAACAATGCCTCGTTATGTTATTTAGGCAGAATTCTGCTTTCTGATGATTTTGTGAGCTCCTATAAGGCTCTCTATGAAGTTTGATGTTTGTGTCATGTGGCAAATTTGGTGAGTTGTGCTCCTGGAAAGTTACAGCAGAGAAACAGACAAGAAACCCAGTTTACTACACAGAGTACAGTGATCCAGTCGGTATCAACTAAATAGTGAGTTTGACATTTGTTTTTGAAACATAATTTAGAAATAATTTTGTAAACATAATTATTAATTGATAAGGAGATTGTGTTTTACATTTCAAACATTTTATTTTTGTATCCTAACTGGGTATTTTTTGTGTAAACAGTTCACAACAGGGCCGTTGTAACTCTGCAACCCAACTGGCCTCAGATATTCAGAGGAGAGACGTTCACTGTCAGATGTGAGATCCAGGGAGGAGGAGACACTAAATGGACGTATGAATGGACACCAGCCAAATTAAACAGACCTCCAACAGACAATGAATACAGGATCATCAGAGCTACTGTGTCCCACAGTGGAGACTACAGCTGTAAGGGTAGAAGAGACTCATATTCCTCAACAGAGTGGAGTGATGTCATCAAATTGACCGTATCATGTAAGTTGGACCGTCTGTCATCTGTAATGAAAATGTAAAATCTAAATAACGCAACAGAAAACTCTTATTTCTCCAACAATTATGTCGCTCTCTTCAGGTCACACAGTAACTAATGTTTGTTTTTTCATGTGGGAACAAAATAAGTGAAAAGGAGCCAGTAATCAGAGTACTGCAGCTTTTAAAATATAATCATTTACAGGGAAATGTACAGGAATGAACAACGAATATCAAGTAACTTATAGGTGTAACAATGGTGCAGTTTAACACTGTTCACCACAGCAAGAAGGTTCTGGGTGTGAACCTAACCTTTGGCCAACTGGTTGAGTTAACTCTCAGGTTATGTTAGTTCAGATTAATCTCCTATTTGGCGAGTCTACATTGCCTGTAGGTGTTAGTGTGAATTATTGTGTTGACTGACAGTCTGTCCAGGTTTAGCTCTGCTGTCACACAATGTGAGCTGGGATAGACTCCAGCTCCCTGTGACCCTGCAAAGGATCAGTGGGTCCAGATAATAGATCAGTAGATTGGATGTAAAAACACAGTGAAAGTGTTAAACTTCCCTCTTCTAGGATTTATCTAAGGGCACAAATGTAGCATTCAGTAGTGCAGCATAATATTATAATGTAATTGCTTTTTTATATATTTATTTTGTTTTATTAAGATAACTGCAACCTATTTCCAGGAAAAACACTAAAATAATATACCCAAAATAAATAAGTAATAACTCCTCAACCATTAGGCCGAGATGTATAATCCTGGTCTCTTTTGACAGTTCAGAAGCTAAGAAATATGGATCAACTGTAAACGAACCTATTCAATTAAAGAGTAAATGGAGATGCAATTAAGGAAAATATGATATTTTCATCCTCGCCTGGTAAAAAGCTATATTTTTTATGCAATAAACCATCAAAACCATCATCCAACTGATTATAATGCAACTGAATTTATTCTAATACACCTAGAATACACCTGTAACTGTAAATTTGATGAAAAGAAACTAATATGCAACAGTTATTACACAATTTTTCAAAAATATACCAGGTGAATGTCCATGTTTTGGGTATATTTAGTTCATTCGTTCTATTGGGAGTTTTCTTCAAAACACTATCCCCCACAACCATGTTCCAAATAACATAAAGCTCCCAAAACATTGAAATATTGATTAAAAACAGTGAATATTGATCAACATTCCTGTGACCAAAAGTTTTTTATTGAGCAGACAAATCGATTGGTATTCTGCATATCTGTGTAGCTCCTATGGGCCAGTAGAGGCCAATAAAGACCGCCTCCCCCAAAGCAGCTCTTCTTCTCTCCTTCAATCTGACGGGAGAAACAAAACCTAAAGAGCTCATTGATCACCAAGATGGTGAGGAAGGTCTCTATTGACACAGATAGACACAGTTTTTGGACTGAATACAGCTAAAACAACAAAGTTAAGTCAGCAGTTGTAACTGTAAATGTATATTGGTGTGTTGTTATTATTAGTCGCCTAATAACTATGTCAGTTGAATGATTTGAGTTACACAACTGAACAGAGCTGAAGCTAAGCTTTCTTTAGAGTGATCGGACTGCGGTGTGGGATGAGAGGAGAGATATGTGGAAGGCAACTTGTGCAGCCATGTACAGTGATTACAGAGTGATTTATGTTGTGATATAAGTTTGTGTAGATGCTTGGTGTGTGTGTGTTTGGTGTGGTCGGTTTGAGATGCTACTTGAGCCTCCTAGCACACGAAGGTGTCTGGCATGCATAGGGTGACAAGATAATCTGATCGTCCATGATTCTCATTTGCATTTTGAGGCGAAAATCGATCGTCCAGGCTTACGTAAATTCAGAGAGTTTCTAGCCTTCTGCAAAACAGGATGCAAAAGAGTCTGAAGACTTCAGCAACACATCTCTTAATTCGAGTATTTCTTGCCTTTATGGGCTACACTATTTAAATTGGACAAAATTTGAGAGACAGTAATTCATTTTCTTGTTTTATGTCTTTGTTCTAAATCAAACAGCAAAGAGACCAAAGGCCCAACTGAGAGCTGACAGGAGAACTATTCCAGCAGGGGGCAGTGTGACCCTGAGCTGCTCTGTGAACCCGTCATCTGGTTGGAAATACTTCTGGTACAGAGGAGAGAAAACCTCTGAACCCCTGAACACACAAGATGCTGTCTTCATCTCAGATGGACAAATCAGTGTCTCACAGGGAGGACTCTACTGGTGCAGAGGAGGAAGAGGAGACCCAGTTTACTACACAGAGGACAGTGATGCAATCGGTATTGACAAAACTGACAATTTAGATTTACTGTATAAAATACAAAATGCAGAAAAACAATGTACATGCATGATTAATAATTACGAAAAAGGTGAAAAACATTTAAGCTTTTGTTATTTTATTATTTGTGGCTTCTTGATCAGTCACAAACAGGGCTGTTGTGACTCTGCAACCAAACTGGTCTGAGATATACTCAGGAGAGACGATCACTCTGAGATGTGAGATCAAGGACGGAGGAGACACTGAGTGGGAGTACGAGTGGGAAACATCCATCTCATACAAACCTCTAAAACAAAGTGAATACATGGAAATCAGAGCCACCGTTAATAATCGTGGGAACTACAGGTGTAAGGGTAAAATGGCTCTGTATTCCTCAACAGAGTGGAGTGATCCCTTCACACTGACACTGTCGGGTACGTTTTACTACAGTTTATTCGTTGTGAAAATATCATGATTTTAAAGTTCCACCCAACTCAGTAAAAAAAAAGTTGCGGAAAAACTAAGAGGGGCGATCATTCAGTAGCACTCGAAATTTACTACCTAAATATTTATTTAGTCACAGATTAAATTGAACAATAAAAGAGTTACAGTGATTAAATTCAGTAAAGTATTTTCTGTGGCCATGTTACAGTGAGTTTATCACCAACCATGGGTGAAATTCATTATGTATTCTTTTTCATGAAAGTATTTTAATTGGGTTAATTCACAGGAACAGTAATGACATTTTTTCATCTTTGTTGTAAATTTCACAGCTCAGAGACCAAAGGCCAAACTGAGAGCTGTCAGGAGAACTATTCCAGCAGGGGGCAGTGTGACCCTGAGCTGCTCTGTGAACCCGTCATCTGGTTGGAAATACTTCTGGTACAGAGGAGAGAAAACCTCTGAACCCCTGAACACACAAGATGCTGTCTTCATCTCAGATGGACCAATCAGTGTCTCACAGGGAGGACTCTACTGGTGCAGAGGAGGAAGAGGAGACCAAGTTTACTACACAGAGGACAGTGATCCAGTCAGCATCAACAAAATTAGTGAGTTTGATATTTGTTTTTTTATGGAAGTGCATTGCATTCACCTAGGAAAAAAATGTAGACACCTTATCGCGTAATTACCAGAAAATATCTCATAATTATGAGAAACATTAAGAACATCAGTCATCGCTGAACTACACTACAGGAGAAGTGGACAATGATTGCACTATTGAATTTAATCTTCTTTTATTTCTTTCTCTATATGAGGCACTGGGAAATACTGATGTTATTTAATGTGGATGGCATTAATATTTGTATATCAGCATTGACTGTGGTCAAGAGAGCTACGCTTTGTTTTGTGATGCGTGTATTTGGTATTTACTAGGCATTATGGTAACATCACGTTACAGCAGATTTTAGAAATAAAAGTGAGCTTCTGGTGAACATATTGTAATATTATATTATATTGTAATATTCAATGAATATTAAAATACGTGAATGAAAGATTAAATGAAATATGTAAATAAAAATGATTAAGACTACAGGAGTATCTAAATAAAATATTAATATTTTAACTGAATTATCTCTAAATTCACATTAATGTTTAAAGAAAACCTGTTTCCACTGAATCATTTCACTTCAGAGTGATTGCAGACCACCACAGTGTCCCTCAGTCAATAGCAGAGCTATCTGATGTAGGATTTCAAAATTAAAGCTTATATTTCACTTCATTTCACTTCAGAGAGAGTGATGACTATAGAGTCTTATGTTGAATTTCAAAATGTACACACACATAAACAATATATACACTACTGTTCAAAATTTTGTGGTCACTTAGAAATGTCCTTATTTTTGAAAGAAAAGCACTGTTTTCTTCAATGAAGATAAGTTAATCAGAAATACAGTCTAGACATTGTTAATGTGGTAAATGACTGTTCAAGATGGGAACGGCTGATTTTTAATGGAATATCTTCAGAGGCCCGTTTCTAGCAACCATCACTCCTGTTTTCTAATGGTACATTGTGTTAGCTAATCGTGTTAAAAAGCTAATTGAAGATGACAAAACCCTTGTGCAATTATGTTAGCCAGCTGAAAGCTGATGTGCTGATTAGAGAAGCTATAAAACTGGCCTTCCTTTGTTGATCTGGAGCATCAGCATTTGTGGGTTCAGTTATATCTCAAAATGGCCAGAAACAAAGAACTTTCTTCTGAAACTGAAACAGTCTATTCTTGTTCTGAGAAATGAAGGCTATTCCATGTGAGAAACTGTCAAAGAACTGAAGCTGTCGTAAAATATTGTACAAAGAAAAATACATATCTCAGACCAGCTAATAAAAAGAAAAGATCAGGGTGTAATCTTTCCTACGTCAGATAGCTCTTGACTGAGGGACACTCACGTCACTGTGAAGTGAAATAAGTAGTGCTGGGCAACGCATAAAATTTGTAATCGCGATTAATCATATGATTTTCTTGCGATTAATCTAATTGTTATGCACAAAATTGAATAATGAATTCTAAAGTAGTTTATTGCTCACTTTGATTTAAATGTACTGCTATATACACAAAATGTAATAACATGTGGTTTGCAAACACTTTAAACAAAGAAGGTGCTTTTTACCAGCAGTATTCCCTTTACACAGTAGCAATAAATGATTTCTTATAAATGTCAACTTCTCAAATTTTAAACCAAAGCTATTTGCCACTGCCAGGGCGTTACCTTTTATCTAGCCTGTTAAAACAAGTTACCATCAGAGTCCAGTTTTCATGGGATTTTTTCTGAGCAGGTATCAGCAGAAACAGTCTATGTTCAGTAGCAAGTTTCCCTGTTACAGTGCGGTGAAGTGGTCCAGCACAAGCTGTACTAGGTGTGTTCCCGTGAAACTGTCGCGGTCGTGCTCGCCTCACGCACACGCCCGCCTGCTGCCGAAGTTGAATTGTCTTGAACTTTTTGTTCGTGACGCGCAGCACCAATCACTGGAAGAGAGACTGATCCTCGCTGTTTATGAATTTCCAGAATCTAAATAGTTATCAGGACATCAACAGGAGGGAATTCACATGGCAGAGAGTCCCCGCAAAACTAAATGCAGGCCTATCAGGTAAAGTTAGCTTATGTATAATTTTAATTTAAGTTAAAAAGGCTACGGCTGTGTAGCGCACAGAAGCCGTTGCCATGGTTACAATCCATAGAGCGCCTGCCGTTCACTCGCGGAGTGCTGTCTCCCTGTCTGTTCACCTGAGTGAACCTGCCGAACCTCTCCGCTGCTTGTTTGTGAGGGTTATTTGCAGGCTGATCAACATCCTACCTCTCCTGTGACCCATGGTTTGACTGTAGGCCTACGTGTATTCAGAGCCAGTGAGCAACGGACTTCAAAATAATAATTGTCGGCGTTAATTAATTAATTAATTAATTAATGCATGCCCAGCCCTAGAAATAAGTCAGTGGAAACAGGAGGGTTTATTTAAACACCAATCTGAATTCAGAGAAAATTCAGTGAAAATGTAATAGACATTTTTCCAAAATTTGTGTAGTCTTAATCATTTATTTATTTCATTATTTCATTTAATCTTTCATTTCTGCCACATATTGAATATTACATTATGTTCACCAGAAGCTCACTTTTATTTTTAAATCTGATGTGACACGATGTTACTGCAATGTTTACATACTAATATTCATGCGATCCACATTAAGTGATATCAATATTTCACAGAGTCTCATACAGAAAAGGAAAAAAAGCAGGTTAAATCCACGAGCTCAATCATTGTCTTTCACTGCAGGTCAGCGATGACTGATAGCCGAACTAGCCTTCCTTAACATCCTGATAATTAGGAGATCCTGATCTCATCATTATAACATCTTATCTCGTAATTTTGAAATAATATTTTTTTATTTCTTTGCTGAATGCAATGCGCTTCCATAATCTTTTAACATAATGTAAAAAAATGTTGTATCCATAGTTATTAATTAATAAATCAATTATGTTTTGATCTAGATTTACCATTTGTATCCTTTCCTCTTTTATTTTTGTATCCTAACTGGGTATTTTTTGTGTAAACAGTGTCCAACAGGGCCGTTGTGACTCTCCAACCCAACTGGCTTCAGATCTTCAGTGGTGAGACGTTCACTGTCAGATGTGAGATCCAGGGAGGAGGAGACACTAAATGGACGTATGAATGGACACCAGCCAAATTAAACAGACCTCCAACAGACAATGAATACAGGATCAGCAAAGCTACTGTGTCCCACAGTGGAGACTACAGCTGTAAGGGTAGAAGAGACTCATATTCCTCAACAGAGTGGAGTGATGTCATCAAATTGACAGTATCATGTAAGTTGGACCGTCTGTCATCTGTAATGAAAATGTAAAATCTAAATAACGCAACAGAAAACTCTTATTTCTCCAACAATTATGTCGCTCTCTTCAGGTCACACAGTAACAAATGATGTTTGTTTTTTCATGTGGGAACAAAATAAGTGAAAAGGAGCCAGTAATCAGAGTACTGCAGCTTTTAAAATATAATCATTCACAGGGAAATGTACAGGAATGAACAACAAATATCAAGTAACTTATAGGTGTAACGATGGTGCAGTTTAACACTGTTCACCACAGCAAGAAGGTTCTGGGTGTGAACCTAACCTTTGGCCAACTGGTTGAGTTAACTCACAGGTTATGTTAGTTCAGATTAATCTCCTATTGGCGAGTCTACATTGCCTGTAGGTGTTAGTGTGAATGATTGTCTGTGTTGACTGACAGTCTGTCCAGGTTTAGCTCTGCTGTCACACAATGTGAGCTGGGATAGACTCCAGCTCCCTGTGACCCTGCAAAGGATCAGTGGGTCCAGATAATAGATCAGTAGATCGGATGTATGATACAGTTGTCTTCCAGAAAAAAACACAGTGAAAGTGTTAAACTTCACTCTTCAACACTTAAATATAGGATTTATCTAAGGGCACAAATGTAGCATTCAGTGGTGCAGCATAATATTATAATGTAATTGCTTTTTTATGTATTTATTTTGTTTTATTAAGATAACTGCCACCTATTTCCAGGAAAAAATAAATCAGTAATAACTCCTCAACCATTAGGCCGAGATGTATAATTCTAGTCTCTTTTAACAGGTTAGAAGCTAAGAAATATGGATCAACTGTAAACGAACCTTTTCTATTAAAGAGTGAATAGAGATGCAATAAAGGAAAATATGATATTTTCATCCTCGCCTGATAAAAAGCTATATTTTTGATGCAAAAAACCATCATCCAACTGATTATAATGCAACTGAATTTATTCTAATACACCTAGAATACACCTGTAACTGTAAATTTGATGAAAAGAAACTAATATGCAACAGTTATTACACAATTTTTCAAAAAATACCAGGTGAATGTCCATGTTTTGGGCATATTTACTGTTTATATGTTCATTCGTTCTATTGGGAGTTTTCTTCAAAACACTATCCCCCCCACAACCATGTTCCAAATACATAAAGCTCCCAAAACATTGAAATATTGATTAAAAACAGTGAATATTGATCAACATTCCTGCGACCAAAAGTACTCCCGTTCTTTACAGGCGCACACGTTGAACATCCTACAGGGCTAAATGGGCTCTTTCTCTTCGTATTGAGCAGACAAATCGATTGGTATTCTGCATATCTGTGTAGCTCCTATGGGCCAGTAGAGGCCAATAAAGACCGCCTCCCCCAAAGCAGCTCTTCTTCTCTCCTTCAATCTGACGAGAGAAACAAAACCTAAAGCTCATTGATCACCAAGATGGTGAGGAAGGTCTCTATTGACACAGAAAAACTGCTGTTTTTGGACTGAATACAGCTAAAACAACAAAGTTAAGTCAGCAGTTGTAACTGTAAATGTATATTGGTGTGTTTGTTGTTATTATTAGTCGCCTAATAACTATGTCAGTTTTGTCAGTTGAATGATTTGAGTTACACAACTGAACAGAGCTGAAGCTAAGCTTTCTTTAGAGTGGTCGGACTGCGGTGTGGGATGAGAGGAGAGATATGTGGAAGGCAACTTGTGCAGCCATGTACAGTGATTACAGAGTGATTTATGTTGTGATGTAAGTTTGTGTAGATGCTTGGTGTTTGATGTGTGTTTGGTGTGGTCGGTTTGAGATGCTAGTTGAGCCTCCTAGTACACAGAGGTGTCTGGTATGCATAGGGTGACAAGATAATTTGATCGTCCATGATTTCTCATTTGCATTTTGAGGCGAAAATCGATCGTCTGGGCAGTTTCTAGCCTTCTGCAAAACAGGATGCAAAAGAGTCTGAAGACTTCAGCAACACATCTCTTAATTCAACAAGTCTCTTAATTTGAGTATTTCTTGCCTTGCTACACTATTTAAATTGGACAAAATCTGAGAGACAGTGATTCATGTCCTTTTTTATGTCTTTGTTCTAAATCAAACAGCACAGAGACCAAAGGCCCAACTGAGAGCTTACAGGAAAACTATTCCAGCAGGGGGCAGTGTGACCCTGAGCTGCTCTGTGAACCCGTCATCTGGTTGGAAATACTTCTGGTACAGAGGAGAGAAAACCTCTGAACCCCTGAACACACAAGATGCTGTCTTCATCTCAGATGGACCAATCAGTGTCTCACAGGGAGGACTCTACTGGTGCAGAGGAGGAAGAGGAGACCCAGTTTACTACACAGAGGACAGTGATCCAGTCGGTAAAGAACAAAAAGGCTATTTTCAATATGATTGAAAAACAAATGCAGAAATAATACATTGTGTGTTTAGGTGTAATGATTAAGACTGAAGAATGATTAACACTAAAACATTGTGTTTAATGTTAAACCTTTTCTAATTTTTATGTTTGGGGCCTTTTGATCATGGACAGTCACAAACAGGCCTGTTGTGACTCTGCAACCCAGCTGGCCTGAGATATACAGAGGAGAGAAGATCACTCTGAGATGTGAGATCAAGGACGGAGGAGACACTGAGTGGGAGTATAAGTGGTTAACACCCCACTCAGACACAGTGACAAAACACATACGGAGTTATCAGCGCTACTGTTTACAGTGGTGGGAACTACTGGTGTATGGGTGAACACAAAAAAACCCAATTATATTCAACAGAGTGGAGTGATCCCTTCATGCTGAGAGTGTCGGGTAAGTTGGACTGCACTGATTCATTGTGAAGATGTTGTGATTTGAACTATCACCCAACTCAGCGACAAACTGTGTGTTGTTGTTTTGTGTGTGTGTGTAGCATTCGAGATGTAGTAAAATTTGATGTATTCACACAATGTTGGGCAGTTACACGTTACTCGGGGCGGAGCTAGACTCTCAGCACAGTGGGGCCCACCTGCTACCTGCTACATGATGTTGGACTCGCTCTGAAAGTTCACTGAGCCCGTCTGCGACGCGGCTTCAGAGTGTGGCCATTCTAGTCGATGCTTGTGCTCACACCAGAAGCCTTGCAGTGCGTCCCAGAAGCGTCTCTGCGCTCTGCTCTGTGGAGAATAGGCAGCCAGTCTATTTTTTAAGAGAAGCCACGTCAAGCAGCACAGAGCAGATGAACCGGGCAGGAAGTCGGAAACAGAAACGACATAAAGAATCCAGTTGATTTTCAAAATAAAACAACCTGTGCAGACTCAAACACAGACAAAAAAGAAACCATTTAACTAGCCTTCTTAACCATTGTAGGAGCACACACTAGTAAAAGAAAACAATAATCACCAAATCAACTAAATCTAAACATGTCAGTAAAATCAGGTAGGCAAAATGATCTTATTCTGAAATGCTCCCAGTGGGATGTGCAGTCTTACAGACTATGGAACAAAACTGTTTCACAGAGAGCTGTGAAGAAGGTAGTAGAATCACAAAAAGGACATATTAAAAATAAGTCATTAACGTGGGGCAGGCTACACGCTCTGCTGCTGAGACGGAGTATGGGAAAGATTGAGTGCCGATACACATGGCAACACGTGAACAACATGTGAATGAGGAGTGCTGGTCACAGTGCTGACAAATTAGTGCTGGTAACCCTGGAGTGCAGGCTGGGTGGTCCCAGACCACATAGAGCACTCTGTAAAATATTACAACTAGGGACTTTCTTGATTTTATGTAAAGGGGATGTTTGTAACTAGAGTTGGGAAATATTACGATATTTGATTGTGAACAATTAAAATGTCTCCATGCAGGGGCGCCATATAGTGGGGAAATGTTAGGACAATTCCAAGGGCCCCTGACTGACAGGGGCCCCAAAAATAGGTAAAAACTAATATCAAATTATATTTATATAAACCATCATCATTTAGTATTTTAAATATAATAATACAATTAATGATCTCTTTGTTTTTGGCAACAGAAGTTAAATATCCCCATTGCCCCAAGTAAAAAAGAAATATACTTAAGTAGCACTTTTTTTGGATGCACTTATCATATTTTAATTGTACTATACTAAGTGTTTATTAAATGTGCTATTTTCGAACAACTTAAAGTATGTTAAGTGTCATTTTAGAAATACTTAAAGTCAACTTTAAGATAATTTCAATATATTTTAATATACTTAGTTGTGTTAAAATGGACCTATTTTAAGTGCCTTTAGTGTAATTTAAATATACTTTTTGAAATTTAACTTAAAATACCCTTTTGTGCTATAATTGAAGAACAGTTTAAATATATTTTAAATGTGTTCCCTGAACATTTTTATTAGCATTTTAGCATATTAGTAATTTATTACTAGTAAACTCCAAGAGCCACTATTAATATCTTGGGAAGCTAATTATGAAACAATTAAGTATGAGAATAATATTAATGCATTACAAATATCTTGCAAAATGCCCCTTTAGCATAATAAAAAAAATCAGTAGAAAAAAAAAGTATTTTACAACACACACACATACAGACAACAAAAAAACTTAAATTTTGTTTACATTACAAAAATAAATTCCTGTACATTAAAAGGTACAGCAGCATGTATCACATCTTGACCAAAATACCTTCAAATAAAATATAAATCAGTAAAATGAGACCAGTTTTTCTGTGACACTATACAAATCCCATCATTAATGTTACCCATGGGGGTCCCTCATACAGTTCGGATTCTGGGCCCGGCTCAGATGACCTCACAGCAAGCCATCCTACTTCTGACACCATATGCAGCCAAAGGTGAGAGCAGTCAGCCTACCCAGATTCAAACACAGCTCTACAGGGTATCAAACATGCAACTTTGACAGCAACGCCAAAGAGCCAGACTCGTTTAGTATGGCAGTCCAAGCGCTTACTCAGCTGTAGTGAAGGTACTCCGTCACAAGCATACAGTACAAATAGTGGAACCAAACTGAAACTGAAAAATGGCACAATCCT